ATAGTATTTATAAATAAATAATGAAAATAAAAATACAAATTATTGGTTACATTACAATTTATGTACCTTTATTATGTATGTAATATTGATTACGGCAGCTTAACTGTAATGTATTCGACATTGTAGCAGCTTTTAGTAGACATATGCAAAACTTTGCAGGCAATCGAAAGTAAAAATATTATATACTTTTCACAATATTGTTATTTTAAATAGTGTACGCACATAAACTATTGTAAATACTGATTATCTTTAAGAATGGCTACANAAATGCACTATTAAACAATTATTGGTGAAATTACAGTCTATGGCCATCTTTTCCGTATGGCCATAATACCCGGGTTTACCCTATATACAACGCTCGCTATATCGGATCCCATTCATTCCGCAAAGCCATTGTGATCGCGACGCCGAACACGCGCGCGGTATATCGGCTACAATACCTTCCATTTTCCGCGACGAATCGCACGAAACGCGACCGACACGCACAAGTCGCACATACATGCCACTCTCTGCGGTGTGTTCAAAACACTTTCACCGGGAGTAGTCTCCGTGAGAAGCCTTCTCCTAGGCCCGGCTAGACGGGGGACCACCTCTCTACGACTGCCCACACCACCATTCAACGCCTCCTTCAACGCCGCGCGGCCAAGCACACCTTGACGAGGGATCTCGCTCGGGTTTCCTTTGCAGTCTCGTGCCGTCTTCGTTTCTCGCGAGTGTCGAGTCTCGTGACTCCTCGTCTTCAGGGTCGGCAGCGCGCAGCCTTGGTCGATCGACGACTCCCTTTCTAGATCACGCGGATTGTCCGCCGCGCGTTGAGATAGGAGGAAAGAGAGAAAGCGAGTTCGCGAAAAAAGAAAGCGGTGACGAGAGAAGAGAATTTTTTCGAAATAGGAACAAATTTCATTTGTTTCGACAATTGCTGTTGCGACATAGAGGCGCGGTATAAAAAAAAAAAAAAAAAAAAAAGCGCGAGACGAGCGAGGGCGCGCGATTATGGGCAGCAGCAACAAGTCGCGCAAACACTACAAGAAGGATTCGAGATTCGTCGCGGATCTCTACACGTTCACCTACGACGACTTCGATCTTGTAAGACAGATCGGCGCGAAGAACCGCAAAGAGCGACAGAGCGTAAATGTTATTCCGTAGATTGTGCAAATAAAATCTGAACGACACGGTCGATCGGAGAAATACACGAGAGAGCGAACGAAAGTAATATCGGAACGACGAAAAACTAGTTCTGTGTGACTCGGGCGGTTGAGAATGTCCGATAGTTGTCGGCATTTCACTCTTTTTCGCGTACCAGGCAATAGATTTCCAAGTGAGAAAACACCGGTCGTTGCGGTAATATCGAAGTAATAGCGTTTTCCGCGAATCTTACTTCGCAACTTCGTTATTTCGCGCGGTTGGCTTTCTTCTCGAGCACACACAGCGATATTTTCTTCAAAAAGAAAAAAATTCGAGAGAAATTCGCGCGAGAAAATTAACTTGGGAAAATTATGCTCTTCAATGGTCTTCGTGAAACAATAAATCTAGAGACGAGAATAAACTCCGTGACGTGTCGCGAAAATTTCATTTTCAGTCGCGGAGAACACAGAAATAAATAAATTTGCGCAGAATTTTTTTAATTTCACTGTTCGCTTGCATTATCGACGTTTCTTTCGCGCTTCCGTCGCGAAACGACGTTCGTTGCGACACGATTGATATTCCGGTCGACGGTCGAAAAAGCGGAAACGTTTACCGTAAACGTTCCGACGCGAGATACCACCGGTTTAAAATGCACGCACTGTTAAAATTGACAAAAACAACAATTTTTCTCTATAAAATTTTAATGTTCATAATCGTATCGCAAGGGAACATCAAAAATTTCATTCTCAGAGAATCGTCGCTCCTCTCACGCGACTCGCACACGTGCGGAATGTTCGCGTCTTAATTATCGCGCGTGTCAACGCGCTCGAACTTTAATTATTCGCGCGATCTCGAATCCTCTCTCGAATTTCTCTGTTGGGAGTTCCTCCGATGGGAGGAAGTTCGATGAACCACGCACGGATTCTCGGTATACGGTTTCGGATCGAGGCACGCGTGTGAAAGTGGGTCACACGGAAGTCGGGCTGTTAACGAACAAACAAGATTTTAGCAGTAGTAGAAGAAGCGTGGCGTCTTCCTGTCACACGCGGATCACGTTTGTAGATAGATACGAGCTCGAGATATCGCGTCCGGAATTTCTAGTGTGGTATCCTGCACTTTATCCCTCCTAAAACGACACTTGTGTGTTAAAATTAAAGACTGTAGAGTTTTGTAAAATTTATATTTAATAAATTTATTTTTCAGTAAAAAAACTCTAAGCGATTTTCTACTCCACATACGTGCGTGCGTGCACGTAATATAAAAAAAAAACGTATTTTGTTTTTTTTTTCTCACACATCTGCGGAAATCTCTGTCGCCCTTTGCAAGACGGCAAAAAAAATAAAAAAATTTAATATCGCTAATGCCTCATCGCGTGTATTATGCGTTACGTTATGAAAGTGGAAAGCGTTAATTTGTGTGGCGCCAGGATGACGACAAAGAAGTCACCGCGGAAACGAATGAGCCGTCGGAGCCGCCGCCGCCGCCGGCGATCACTGTGGCGTACGACGCAGCGAAAGAAACGAAGGAACGGGAAAGGGAGGATCTTATCACGCGATTCGACAAAATCGTGCGCGGAGAGCTTAACGATGACCTGCAGGTGTGAATTGACACGACTCACAAACGAGTACAAACGCGCAAAGGTTTAAAAGAGAGAATAGAAACTTGTGTGCTAAAAAACGTTCAGTGTGGCAAAAAGATTCATCGTCACGTACATAAATTCCACCAGAATCCGAATTAATTGTCTGTAATGGAAGTTCTGAAAAAAAATTAACGTGTTATCCTCTCTTATGTCTGCAGCGACGAAACGATCGCGAGGAAATCAGACGGAGACTCGCGATGGGGCCTGATGCCGAGGATTTGCGCGCCGAACGCGGACGAAAACCGAGTCTTCAGTCGCGTCTTCAAAGTGGTTCGTAGAATCACATATTTGTTTTCCTTATAAATTAATTAATAAATATGAATCAATTGTATACAGAGCGAAAATTAAAATCTGATGTCACATGACTTTGTTGTCTTGTGCAGGAATGAATCTCCAGATTTGCTTCATGAACGAAACGTCGTCGGACACCGAGTCTCCGGGATCGGAGAACGACGTTTCGCCCAGATCAACGCCCACGTCCCTCAGTTCGAAGCAGCTCAGCGGTAAGCAGCAGGCGAGGCCGCAGGTGCTGAGTCTCCCGTCTCTGAGACTCGACTCGATGAATTCGACGCCGCCGGTCGACGAGGCGGATTTCTTCGCCCGACAGGCCAGGCTGCAGACCGAGGCGCGGATGGCCCTGGCCCAGGCCAAGGAAATGGCGCACATGCAGATGGAAGTTGAGAGACAGAGGCTGAAACAGAGTCCCATCACCGAGATAGTGCGATGCAGCTTGGAAAAAGTCAGTAGAGCTCCAAGTTGATGATAGACTGAAAAAAAAAAGAAACTTTGTTTTCAGAATTTAAAATAAAGCTAGAACGAGCGTTCGATGTGGAAAAACTCAACACATGTGTGTATTGAATCGTACCACCAATGACTCTCGAATCTTGTTTTGTTTTTGTCAGGTTGGCGTCCAGCTGGGAGAAGACAGACGCAGGTTGTCGCGAGTGATTCTCACGGAGCTCAATGTTGCGCAGCTCCAAGTAGTCGCGAACGATCTGCACGCGAGAATCGCCGCACTGAACGAGGCGCTCGTTGAAGGACTCCTGAGGAGAGACGATTTGCACATGGAGCAAGACTCGATGCTCGTGGACGTGGAAGATCTCACTCGATACTTGTACGTTCGTTTAAAAATCTTCAATTTGAACATCTTGCTCTTGTGTGTGAAAATCCTTGAGATATCTTGAAACTTTCGCAACAGTATTTTATAAATCTCGAACAAAAATATATACAATAAACATAACATCTGTCTCTGTAAGTAAAAAAAAAAAAGAAATATTGATAAATTTGTTCGCGCAGAGGTGCCAAGCAGGAATCGTTGAAGAAGAAGCAGCAGAGCATGCAGCAGGCGGCGAATCGGAACAACCAACAATCCGCTCCAGCAGCCCCGACAAAGCTTTTGATGAAACCGAAGCTGACGCATCTGAATCGCGGTCTGGTCGCCCTTGTGAGGAAATAATCCTTCGCTACGAGACTACGCAGTCTCGTCGGAAATTGAACTCCGAGCGAAACGAGGCACCACGGGCAATCTTGTTAACGGACGTGAAGAAGCAAAAAGAAGTCTTCGAGAAAGAAAATAGGAAAAAAATCCTTTCTTTTCAGAAAGAAAAATGGAAGACGACGAGAAACCCCTTTGAAGGAAACGCGTTCGGGAAAGAAGAGAGTTTCTTCGTGAACGAAGACCCTTCATAGAATTGATCGTGAATGATTGCGCCGTGGTTGTGCGTGCTCGGAAACTTTGACGCTTGTAGACGGTTATTGTCACAACTTCGATAACGGTGAAGTCGTGTTCGTTCCCGTTGTTCTCTAGCAAAGGGGGAAGCGAGTCTCCCTCTCCTTTCTCCCTCCTCTCCCTTCCCCCGAGAAAAATTTCCAAGTTTTTACAGCTTCGTCGTGGAACCACGTGGAAGTAGAGATTTTATGTATGTGCGAGCGCCAAAGCAACGACCCTTCGTTTATATCCCAACATATTAGCGAGAGATCGTCTCCTTCGGATTTCTCCTTCTATCTCTCCTCGTCCTGTAATACTCTCTCTCGTTCAGAATTCCCTTTCAGATTACGTCCCGCGACATGCATGCCTGTGTCTATCGAGTGTAACGACTTATTCGCCTTTAATAATAATAATAATAATAATAATAACAACAACAACAATAATAATAATAACAGCGATCATTAAACGCGCGAGAGCGGATTCTCCGACCCTGCCTCGCTGTTGTACATATAACGAAGATTTATATATCACAGATTATTGCCGCGTATATCGAGATTCCAATATGATATTTAAAACGAGAGCGCTTCGTTCCGGTCGTTCCGGGTCCGCCAGAAATCGCCACCCGCGTGCGTGACAAATTTGTCAATGCGAAAATATATCGCGTCGGATATTTGAGCCGCGTTCTTTAGAATATCAAGAACAACAAAAGTTTCCGAATCCTGTGAATTCATTCGTAGATTGACCGAATTGTAACCGGACGTGTAATCTCTCCGCTTCGGATAGATCCTTAGATCCGCCAGAATTAGAAGCCGTTCCGATAGAACTCGTTTCACATGAATTCTTGTAAATGCGTCAGTATACGCGCGAACCAGTTTCCGTCTATTATCGCGAGTAACGCGAAGAAAGTTGATGTAGATTCTTGAGGCAACGCGCGCGCGCGCGCGCGCGTAAGAAAAGGTGAAGAAAAGATGGGTCGAAGAGATTGTAACGACCGCGGGAAACGAAGAAACGCGTTTACATATCCAACTAAGTGATCTAGAGTATGCAAAAAGCGATTAGTCCATATATACATATACACATGTAGACCAGGTAATTAACAAAAAAACGTAATCGGATAGAATTGTTTGAGCGCGTCGTCCGATGGGAATTTTTGCGCGTTAACGAAACTCGCGATCGAGATTGTTCACCGATATGGATTACTCGGTTCTTGCATCGGGTTGTTTTTTTTTGTTTGTTTTTTTTTTTTTGCATGTGTCAATGTCACACGATCTCGTTTACCTCAGATGCAATGTAATCTCGCAACAAATCTCGCAGCGTGTCCGAAGCTGCGAGATCGTAGCTCTGTTTCGTAAATTGTTCTTCTTCTTCTCTGGCTTTATTCCTGTTTGAGATTAGAAACATTGTGCGTTCGTTCGAGATCTTAAGTATTTATTTATGAAAATAATTTTTAGATTTCTCTTCTCCAATCGCTTCCTCGCGAGTAAACAAAAAAAAAAAATAAATTAAAGAAAAACAGTTACACTTGTTGTACTACAGAGGAAATTATTTCACACATGTGTGTAAACCTTGTTATTCCCAAATTTACAAAATCCTTTGCGTGCGTTATGTGGGAAGAACGTTCTCGTTGGCTTTGTAGCCAAACGTATGCAGATTTCACTTCAATCTTTGTTCTCGGGATTGTTGTAAGACAACAACAACTCGAAATGAAATCAGAACAGGTTCCGGTTAAAAAAGAGAGAAAACGAGTTTACTTAGTGTCTCAATCACGCGACTAAGGCAATTTAAATCCACTCTCGATATTACGACAAAGTTGCATAAGATTGTCATAACGCCAATCGTATGTAGAAGGAATCTCTCTCCGATCAGTTCTACTAGATATGTGGACTGATGTCGAGAATGAGAGAACGGTTTTTGAGTTACAACGATGTCGAATCGAAAGAGAACGTAAAATAACGAAACAAAGAAAAAAAAAAAAAAAAAGAAAAAAAACCAAAAGACACGGATCGTAAAAAATAGGATCGCGAAAGCTCCGAGCTCGATATCGCACAGTCGTTGATTATATATAAAAGCATCTCTCATCTCAAAGACCGCATATTATCTACAAAATACTTTTAATCGTAATATTAATTAATAATATACAGATTGTAAATAACTAAACAATAATAAAATATGCTGTAACAAGTTCTCCCTCTTCTTCCGTTCTCGTTCACTCTCTCACGCACACTCTCGCACATTCTTTCTTTATTTTTCTTTCGCTCTCTCTCTCTCATTGTCAATTTTCTTCCCGTTCCGTCCTCATAGAGGACCAAGAGTAAGGAAGAAGGCACGGGGGGCAGTATATCAAGGATGGTAATTTACTCTCTCTCTGTTTTTAATACATGCACCTCTTTTTCTCTCTCGTATTTTCGACTTCAATGATCATCACGATGACGTTTCGCTCGTTCTCGCCGTTTCATCAAAACCGAAAGGATAAAAGACGGGACAAGGGGAGCACCATAATATTTTAAAGAGACGTCTCGCTGAGTTCTCGGAGCCATTCACACCGGCAGTTCTGGGTAACTAAACTCTCTGAACCTAAAGCAATTCTCCTTTTCTTGCTCTAGCTATAATAATAATATATCCCACACGGAAAGGAATTTAAATTACAGTTCGTACCGTGATAAATGCCGAGACGGCCAATCTTGCTTACCTTGCTTGCTCTGTTACTTCCTCTATTGGTTTTAATTCAAGTCTAGTCGTTGCGGTTTTCTATTTCTTCTTTTCTAAATTTAATTATAGCCTATATAGCACGTATGTACAAGTCAAAAGCCGACCGAGGTTTTTTTTTTTATTTATCGACCCTTTGTTTCTCAATTTTGTCTCCCAGCGAGAAAACATCATCACTCAGAGATCATGTAAAATTCACGTAACTGCACAATTAATTAATATCTATTAAGCCTCGTGAAAGGAGGGAGACGGGAGAGGGATGGAGAATGCAGTTAACCACAGTTAGCCGCCGATGCAAGCGGCTCTCTCTTCGTTCCGACGATATCTCGCGGAGGTACTTTGGAAAGAACACAAACGGCGATGACGCATTAATAATACCCTAAACGGTTCCTACGATCGATTCTTCTTGTTTCTGTTTTTCTTTTTAATCGCTTCCTTCGATGCCAAGGATGGCCACAAGCCGTATGGCACCATGACGAAGCTCCTAAGCCTCTCGATTATGCATGTTCTGTGTGTCTTTTAGCTTCTTTTCTCTCTTTTTCTTTTTGTTTTTGTCTCTGTCGGGATACAGCGGACGTCGTTAGCTCGTGTATCATCATGATAAAACTCTTAACTTATATAATCATTAATCTCTACTATACATGCTGGCACTGCCGTTGTATATATACTCGCACGCAATGATCCTTCGCACACGCCGCACGCTGGTCACTGTCGCAATATTGCTTGCTTGTCGCAACATCCGCGAAGTGAATTCACACTCGCATGGAATTTTACATATATATATATATATATATATATATATAAAACAAAAAAAAAAAATATATATTGATCTTCAGACTCGTATTCCGCTATTTACATTCTGTTGAAGTTCGACAGACAACAAACCTCGCGACTTATCAAACGTTAAATAAATCCTCACTATAAGACGCGTGTTGTTGTTTCTAAAAAGCAACCTTTCCCGCGCACATCTGCCGACACACACAGACACGTTTCCGAAGAACAATCTGTATATAAAATGATTTCGAAAACGCTATACATATACATACATATAATATATATACATATATATATATATGCTTTTTCCCAAACTTTCTCGAAATTTCGGTTTAAAGCATCAAAAAAACGCCTTAAGCTAAAAATCCTCATGATTGATCGAAGGCAGTAAGAAAAATGTGCGTACAAAATCGAATATATAACTCCAATTAGAAAAATCACTGCGGAAAAGTTCGAAAAAACATTTTACACAATCCCCTCCTCCTATGAATAATATTATCACGTTTACGAAGGAAGGATTGTTGCATCGCATATATCGTTGCTCGTAATTAAAAAGACGATTCTAATGATTCCGAGGAACACACGACGCGTCCTTTGTTATTGTCCCGAAAATATAACGCGATAAATGCGCGTTTACATATTTTATACCCTGCATACAGCGATTTTTCATCTCTCTTCGTTTTTCTTCCATCCTTCTTTTCGCACCATATTTTTTTTTTTACCCGCTCGTCGTTCAGTATACTTCATGCATATTAAACCCTGTTTTCTCCTATGGATTTCTTGCGAATTTCAAGTTCACTTAAATTTCTTAGCTGCGAAGACATCACGCAAGAGTCGCGTAGTCTCGATTATTTCCTTGTCTCGATTTTAAGAAACTAATATGGACAGTCTACTTCGTTCGCCGAGGGTGCGCAGAGAAAATCGACGAGAATTTCGACGATAGTCCGACATCGCGCGTTATCGAAGGGAACGGATAGGCAGCAGATTCTTAATGGCCAGTACTAGCTTTCTCCAAGATCACTTGCCCATACTTGCGTTCGCCGGTAACGTCGCCGATCGTTGCTGAACCGATAAGTATGGCTTTAAGGACGACCTCGTGGATTCCCTGGAAAGAACGAAGTGTCGTCACAAATCGTGTTGTTTACCATATAACAACAGGTGCCGTTCACAAGCAAAATTAGAAAAATCATCGCACAAGTCACAAAGCTGCAAAGCGCCGAAAAAGGACGAAATTGTACAGACACTGAAAACTGACACACAAGCCCATTTGTTTTGTGACAAGCAACGAAAGCTGAAAGTGCTCGTTGTGCACTAAAAATATCTCTAGATTAAAAACAAAAAAAAAACATGCTACTCTTTGTGATACACCGTGTTATCGTGGTCCTTTTAACTTATTCGATCTTGCAACTTACACTCAACGTCATGCAAAGTGCCAATATATGTACAAGAGTGATATAGAAATAACGATCTTTTTTCTCTTCTAAGTTGACAAAAAGTTTACGTCACAATTGCGGACACATCTGTAAAACATTTTTCACAATACATGAGAATAGAATTATATTACAAACACTTTTCGAAGTAGCAATATTCGAATGATGAACATCAAGTGCGGGAAGTGCTGGAAACGAAAAAGGGGAAAAAAAAAGAAACAGAAAGAGGAAGAGAGAGAGAGAGAAGTCGAAAGAAAAATCAAAATCTAACCTCTCTACACCCTTATCATGCGACGCCACAAAATAAGAGAGCTACTTAGTCCCCGCTCGCGTCGAGCAGCAGCACGGCTACGCTACCTTGGGGAGACGCGCTGTCCTGTTCCGTCCACATGCGAATTCGCTTTGTAGCCGCATTTCTGGACTCGTCTGGACAGCCGTGAGACCCAGTACTTCTGGTCTTCCGGATTCGCTGCGAGCAATAGCAACTCGCGAGCGCTGTTCGGGTCGTAATGTAGTTTGCACGGGGCTATGGCATCTTCCTTCTTATCCAAATGTTCTTTGTGAACCTTGATACGACACCCTGTGCATACGCGTAACAACATATTCATTTTTTTGTGTAAAAAAAAGTACAAGAAATTATATAAGTAAATAAATATGAACAGAAATATATACGTACTTCGGCATTCGAGAGCCGGCGAAGGTCGGAACATGTGCCAGAGCTGCTTCGAACAGACCTCGCAGGTCGTCGGCATGTGATAGGATATTGACACGAACTCGTGACCCTTCAGCGACTGAGTGCCAGGTTTGTCTGTGAGCTGTGGTAAATCAACTCCGGGCAGTGTATTCCCCTCGTCGCCGGGTCGCCTCGCTTCACCTTCGCCAGCGTAAAGTAACTGCGCATAAAGTTAATCGCGGTGTTGTCACAATACTGACTGAATCGAGAGAATTCAGAAATAAAATAACGAATAACCTGAAAACGCGTACCTGAAATATTCTGGGTATATCTTTGGCATTGGCTCGAATAACATCACCCTGAGTAACGGATCTAACGTGGAAGACTTTGTTCAAGTCTAGTATCAGGACCGGATCGGCGTTTAACTTGTCGTTTTCGCTGTTGTAGAATATGATCTTCTTAGAAGAAACGACAACGTACTGCTTCTTCCAGCCGTGCCGCTTAATGTTCTGTTTGTTTGGCACATTTAACCAGCCCTCCAGTCTCATCGTACCGTGTTCGGACAGAACCGAGTCCTCACCGTCGTCGTTCTCTATGGAGGACATACTGGCAGTTTCCGAATTGAGCGACGCGATTTTCATCTGCAACGTTTCGATCTCCGAGTCTTTCGAGTCGAGTTCCATCTGCAGCCTCAGCTTCGCCTGATTTTCCTCCACGAGTTGCGCCTAAAGAAAAAGAAAATCGTTTTTCAAAGCAGTTTTTTATATTATTATAAAAGTGTTTGTCACAAGAAAAGATCTATTGCTTACTTGCATATCCTGCAAATCTTTCTGCCATTTAGCTGCCAACTGTCCGTACTTCTCTCTTTCTTGAGTGAGTTCTTGCTGCAGGCGTCTGCAATCCTTCTCTTTCTTCCTGAGATCCGCGGCAGACGCTTTGTTCTTGGTCTTTCCACTCGACGAAATATCTTTCCGGTTCATAATCTCGGCCAACTTGTTGACTGCTTGCTGTTTCAGCAATTGTTCGGTCTTCAATTTGCTGCTGAGCTTCTCGATCTCCTCCATGTTGGACTGCGCCTTGCCAAGCTGCTCCTGCAGCTCCTTCAATCGTTTCGACGCGTCCTCCTTCTCTTTCAAAGCCTGCTCAACCGATTTCTTGAATTCGTTCTCGTTTTCTTTAAGTCTGTTTATAATTTGTTCTTTCGCGCTTAATTCCTGATGATGCTTCGCTACTCCGTCCTTGTACTCCAGCTCTTTCATGGTTCTTTCTTTCTCCAAGTCTGCCACTGTTTCCTCGGCTATGGATCTGGCTAGCGCCTCGCTGTCACCGCGCGCTAATGACAGTTGCAGCTGATGGACCAGAGAGCTACGCTCTTCTTCCAACTCCTGTTGTAGCCTTATTTTCTCATCTAATTCTTCGCGCAACTCTTGCGTTTGTGTTTTGTACAGAGTCTGAAAAAAAACAAAAAAACAAAAGTTACATTTAAAGTTCTCAGTTGAATCTTACATTTAAAATCGCCATTATCTTCAGCTCCGTAGTCAATAAAACGACCCGCATCTTAAATTCTCAGAGACTTCGATTATAAAAAAAATTCTTATTTACCGAAAAATAAGCTTCAGCCTCTAATTGTTCCTGCAATTCTTTTGTCTGTAGCTGATCGACGTTTCTTTGTGTTTTCAAGTGATGCAACTCATCTTCTATTTGTCTTTTAGCTTCCCTCAGCTGAGCAACTTCTCCGACTAGCTGTTGCTCGCGAGCGCGAAGTCTTCCCGCTTCGGACAGATGTTGGCCCAACTCCGTTTGCAGAACGTTCCTCTTCTGTTGTTCCTGCTCAATTTGGCCCTGCAGGGCTTTGACCTTTTCCATCTCCTGTCTGTGCTCGCCCTCTAATTTCTGCAATCGTTGCTGTATCTGTCTGTAATCCACGGAGAGCAATGACGTCTGACGTTCCTTTTCCTGCGCAAGCAATTCCGCACGTTGCCTTCCACTTTTCTCGTCGTTCAGTTTTGCTTGTAGAGCTATTTGTGATAAATCAGTGTGAGTAACAGTAGTTTTAATGCGTTTTCTTAAGTTTGTAAATAAAGATAAGAATGTGTACGTACGCAAACAGATATACGCCATTACAAAAATACGCAGCAGTAATGAGAAAATAAACAATTAGAACATACAATAACAGAAATTGTTATTTTACAAATCACACACACACACACATACACAATTGGATAATTTAAGTCCATATAAATTCGCGAATCATATATATTATCTTCGACAATTTTATTCTTTTGTTCTGCATGCATTTGCAATGTAAAACACACTTTAATCAGAAAAAAAAAATACAACGTTTTCTACTTTTATGTAATAATTGAAGCAAGTACCTTTGACAACTTCCAGATTGGCTTCCTCTTTGGAAAGCATGCGCGAACGTTCCGTTTCTTGATGCGCCACAACTTCCTGATTATACCTGGCTTGTGCTGCCTTCAATTCCACAGTTAAACTAGCAGCCTCCTTCTCCAACGCGGAAACCTTTTCGGTTAGTTGTCTATTGTCCTGAGTCGCCTTGTCTTCTTTCTCGTGACTGCGTTCCAATTCGTCTTGCAAAGTAGAAAGACGTGTCTCCAAGTCGGCTATCAGCAATGACGCTTGCGATCTCGAGCTGCGTTCTTTGGAAAGCTGGCCCTGTAAACAAATGATTACACATTGAGACATTTGATTAACAAAGAAATTAATTATTTCTTGATATATCGTTTTAGTTTAAGAAAAATTTGTGTTCTTTGTATTGTGTGTGTAAATATTTTTTCAGCTTAAAGTTAACACAATCAAGTTTTCTCTTACTCGCATTAGTTGTTCTTTTGAAAACATTCTTAATCTTTAAATAAATGTAGAAAATCACAAAGGAAGAACAAAATTTACCTGGAGAGTTGCAACTTCCTGCTGTAAAGTATCACGCTGCGCTTGCAGTTGAGCCCTTGCGACTTGCAACTCGTTAGCCAGTTGCTCGGCGGCTTGACGGGCCACAGTGATTTCCGTCGCTTGTTTCCGCAATCTCGTCACCGTTTCCGTTTCTCTCTCCAGTTTGCATTGCATCTCTTTGATTTGTTTTTCCAGAGTGGTCACTCTCTCGGACGTTTGCTGCGAGTTGCTGGCGTCCCGTGCCCGTCTTGTCTGTTCTTCATCAAACTTCATCTTCACTTCCATCAACAGCGACTCCGCTTTTCGACGAGCTTCCGCCTCGTGTTCCATTCTGCGCTGTGCCTCCTTGTAATTGTGTCTGAGCAGCGTTATCTCTTTCTCCGCCCTGCCGATCTCGTCGCGCAGAGCCTCCTCCTGACGCGTCACCGTTTCCAATTGCGTGCTCAACTGTTTCTGCTTCAATTCCAGGATCTCCACCTGCCGCCTTTCGCGATCCAACAGGTTCTCCAGCTGCGAGATCTTCATGTCCTCGTTGATAGTGCCGTTGTTGATATGATTCTCTAATCCGTCTACATATTCCTTGCCGTAGGAAGCCATTAACTGATAATCACCCGAATAGGTAAAACCGATGAAAGGCAAGTGGTTGCCGGAGAACGCCTTGGGCACCGGAAAATTCTCTTCCGACACATCTTCCTTCTCAACATCGTCGAAATTACTTGTGTCGTCGTCTCCCGAGAGCTCGGGCACTACCGGTGGCACGCATTCTCTCAGATTGTCGAAAGTCCACTGATCGTTCTTAAAGAACGGATGTTCTTTGATCTCGTCGATGCCGTTGCGACCCAGACGCATCGTTCTGTCGGTGAGAAACCCGGATATCAAATTCTTCGCCGAGGGAGAGATCTCAACGGTCGGAGGGAAGTACAGCGAATTTCTGTGGTCCATGATCTTCGAATACGTGCCGACTAGAGAATCGGCAAAAAACGGTGTATCGCCGTACAGCATCTCGTACAGGAAAACACCAACGGACCACCAGTCGCACTCGCGGCCGTACACTCCTTCACCACCTTGCGACTGCAGAACCTCCGGGGATATGTAATCGGGCGTACCAACCGCGGTATCGGACCGTACCAAGCCGTCCTGCAAACCAGACATACCCAGACGCGTTTAGTTTATCAAAGTTAAATTAAACCAAAATTGCTATGAAAATTAAGCGAGATCGATCTTACCGCATCCATTCTCATACATGTTCCGAAATCGGCGAGTTTCAAGTGGCCGTGCTTGTCGAGCAACATGTTATCGGGTTTCACGTCTCTATGAACAAAACCCATCAAGTGTATTGCGTCCAATGCGAGCACCACCTCGGCGCAGTAAAATTTCGCCCACTTCTCCGGCACCTCGTAGTTCGACATCAGATTCACCAGATCGCCGCCCGGCATGTAGTCCATCACCATGTAAAGATACTTCTGATCTTGAAACGCGAAGTGCAGCTGGACTATCCACGGAGAATTAGCGTGAGCCATTATGTCTCTCTCTTCCCAAAAGAATGCCGAGTCCGACCTTTTAATCTGTAAACAAACAATTCAATCTCAGACGAACATAACACACGTTAATGCTTAGAAATCGTATATGTGCCTAACAAAGACACAAATTAAAACGGCAACTCTCACCATTTCGAATTTGCTAAGCAGTTTCATAGCGTACACCTTTTTTGTAGATTTATGTCTAACCAACTGCACCTCTCCGAACGCACCACGACCGATTACTTTGATCAAAGTAAAATCATCCGTGCGCATTCGCGCCTGGTAAATCTCTTGAGCTACGGAGTCATCTGCGAGAGATGCGAGACAAAATTATGAATATATAAATTAAAATGACATAATCCGATGATTCATCAGAGCGTTCAAGAAAAGACAAACAAAAACATCTCACACAAATAACTGTTGAAGACAATTGGTTTTACTACTCACATCTATTCATATAAGCTTCTATATTTTTCATACGTTTCACACTCGCATGATCGCAATCTAAAACCAAGGCTTGAACCGTGTCCAACAAGCAATCGATATTTGCGACGCTTCTTGGATCTCTTATGCGATCCTCCAACATTTGTAGGCGTCTCCGCCTATCCTCATCGCATATCGCATCCATCGCTTCCGGCAGGAATTCTGATCCCTCAACAATGTAGCAATCTTGTTGCATTAAAGACCGTTCAGATGCAAGGCTAAATGTAGCATCGATTCGAACAACGTGTAACTTCGATGTTCAACGGACGCTCCATGTTTTTCCTGAAAAGTCACGAAGTTAAATATAACAACCAGAAGCAAAAGTAACAGAAGCAAAACACTTGGGACAATAAACGATCTATATATTTAGCCGCACAAACAAACAATATTTCATAGAAATTTTTTTTTTCTCCGCACATTTGCCGATGCCGGCATTTAAATAAATTTTTCAAATGCCGAGATGGAAATAAAACGAACGAACAAGCGCGCAATACATTCGGCGAAAGAATGCAGTCTTTACATAATATGAGAAATAAAGCGAAAATAAATCGTTGGACGACGGCATGATACTACTGTCAAGTTGGGGCAAACAACTGGAAATCGTGCTGCTGGTTAGAACCGCGCAAGTTTGACAGATGTGGATATAAATATCGCGTTATATAAATATCCACACACACATATAAACGTAATTCCCGAATCAAAGTTCACGACTTAAACAGAGGGGCGAGGCGCGCGCGCGCGCGTGCGAGCGACACAAGGACGTTTTCTCTCTCAAGTGCAGAGAACCGCGAGGAACGTACACACACAATTGTCGTCGCAGCAACATCGTGTTTAACGGGCAATGACTCAGCCACGCAATTTGCAAGGTGACAATGATTCGCGCGCGCGTGTGTGTAAAACAAAGAGCGATCCCTGACACCATGTCGACGTTTGTCGAGAGACGTCGACGTAACATCTGCCCGACGTTGTTGCGACGACGAAATCTTTCACCGGGAAAATGGGAATGTAAAGCGGCGACAACGTACGCGAGACACAGAGCTCGTCTTCGTCGCACATCGGCGAGTTGAAAAAATTCGCTTGGAAGGGAAAAGAGAAGAGAAGAGTTGACGAGGTTACGTCAACAACACAGAGCGTTCGCGACGGAGGACACGTTGCGAACGTCAGACGAGGGTGGGCCTTGCCTTGCGCCTTGCCCGCGCGACAGAGATGACGCACGACAATCGCGAGAGGTTGCAAAACATCTGCAAATCCGCGGGGATGTTTGTCAATCTCGAACCGGGACATCTCTCGAATGTCTGGGACTCGAGCGATTGTCGACCACACCGGCGACACGAGACGACGAACGGGACCAACGAAGGTTGCACACGTACCTGCTGCGACGTCACCTTACGTCCCGACGTTGGCTGTCATCCGGACCAGAATCCCAAGTAGAAGACGCATTTTATTCCGCGGGATGCTTACAGCTGAGCCGCGCCATTCGGGCGATTCACAACGGTTGACGAAGCCACCGAGAGAGAGCCAACGCGAGAATCCACCTCTCTCTCTCACTCTCTCTCTTTCTCGCCTTTTCCACGGTTTAGCTTCTCGCTCGCTCGCCCCGTGTTTTTCCCTCTTTCTCACTCCCTCTCCGTCTCTCTTCCTCGTTCTGTCGCGCTCACTATTCTCCGGCGGCACGCGCCGTTCTCGCGACGACAACGACGACGACGAGGACAGAAATTCGACTGGCGATCCTACTACCTCCTCGGCGCGTTTGCTTGCTCGCGGCGACGACGTGTGTCCTTCTCGATCCGCGGACCGCCAACAACGGTACAGGCACCTTGGTTCTATCGCCGCGGGATTATCGATTATTGTGATTGTTAAATCGTCGCGCCGTGAAACGTGCGACGGTGATCCGAAATCAGCCGGAGGATACTCTCGCGCCCCGAGTGGCAACAGGAAGAGCGTGCACAAGCGTGAAGGGAAGGGCGAGAGCGGTTAACACGGCGTCAGCCGCTTCGAAGAGCGTCGAGACGGGGCGCGAGCTGTCAGAAGGCAGGGAGAGAGAAAGAGCGAGAGGTCCGTTAAGTACGGAAGATACATAGAAAGTATAGTTACGTGGAGATTCGCGGATCGCGGCTTTCTTCGTTTCAGCTGGGTGGCGCGCAGTGTTCCGCGCGTTATGGCGACTTAGCGTTTTGTTGCGAGTTCGTCAACCGCATATTTTCCCATCGTAACATTGTCTTGAAGACGAGAGCGCAGATTAATTTCGCGGTGTTTAAGAAACTATTCGATTCTTCGACACCCGAAGAAACGTGTTTCCGCATGGCCAGCTTACGTATGTGTTGCGTATTGTATTTGTAACGATAATTCGTGCAGTCCGAAAAAAAGGTGAGTACTTGTATATACGTGCGTCATCTTCTGTCCGAGAGAATATAACTCTTGAATAATTAAACGAAATTTGTTATCGTACGTATTTCTAAATATGTTTTTTTTATAATAACTTTCTGTTCGTTTCGCAGGTGAGAAGTGTGTGTGTGTGTACATATACACAAAACATAAACACGCCGTGTTGTCAAGATGGATCCACCGTGCGACTGGCAGATGAGCAAGCAGACTCTTATGGAACGTGGTCGGTATCTGTTAGAAACTGGACTGTGGTCAGATTGTCAGTTTATTGTAGGACAAGAACCTCAGCAACAAATACTCAAAGGTCACAAGCTATTCTTAGCAATGAACAGTCCAGTATTTGAGACTATGTTCTTTGGAGGCATGGCTGAAAAGAATGAACCAATAGCGATAAAAGATGTTCAGCCTGAAGTATTCAAAGCTCTGTTGGAATATATATATACAAACAATGTGATGCTGAGCTCTGTTGAATTTGCTTGTGAATTAGGTTACTGTGCTAAGAAGTTCATGATACCATTGTTACTCACACAATGCAGGAAATATCTATGGTCGAATCTCTCCGTGGTGGTAGAATCTCTCACTGAAGAAAGCTTGCAAGATATATGAATTTGCCAAGCTCTCTGAGGAGCCTCTACTGATGGAAAAATACATGCGGATCGTATGCTCAAAAATAGATGAAGCATTGAAGGAATCCAGCTGGAAAGAAGTAGAGTTAGGTACAGTTCTCACACCCTCTTATTAAAAGTGTCATAAATGTAACACTTTTAATAAGGGGGTGTTGTTTTGCAATCAATGGGTTCTTAGGGTTAACTGAAAAACTTTATTGTATTATATCTTTAATGTGCACAGTAGCCAACAGTTAGACTTTTTATGGCACTTATCTTCTTCCTTTGTTGCTACGTGATCTTTTTGTATCACACATCCTCTATTGTTCTCTTATCATGCATGCTTGTGTCTTTTATATAACTTTTTGTATTTGCCTAATAAATTTGACACATCGAATGTAATACATCCCATCTTTATTTTGCAACCGTTCTCATTTGATAGAGCTTGGCACTCAAACACCATTAGAGTTACCGATTTTATCTTTGTTTCACATAGATACTAAATTTGTTTCTTAATAGATAAAAACTATAGATAAACCTATATAATAGACATAAACATTGTATATTTTCTAACAAAGTAAGTTGTATCAACTAATGTGAAGTTTTCCATTGGATTTTTTTCTTCTCTAGTTGCCCAGAAGGTCCTATTTGCCAAATATGTATGGCAACAAAGTGAATAGTAGTCTGTGTTCTGATTTTGACGGAGAGTTCAACGGTGCATTACGCTTTTCGTCGATCGTAAGCTTGGACGCAAGACGAAATATGATCAAAGAATTCTAAGAATTTGCCGATTTCCTCATCTTCTTCAGGGGTGTTTATGCGCGATGGACCTAAACATTATTGCCTCAGATCGGTTGTTCAATCAACGAAGTGTTTGATAGACTGTTCCATCACGTTCATAGTGGATAAAATTTATTTGTGCGGTGGGCGTGCAAGTGCCTTTGCAAATCGTCATGGTAAGCTATATATAAGAGCCATTAAGTTAATTATCTGATTACTGGTTCTTCACATTAATATTCGACACGTTTTTAAATTATCGTTTACAATTTTTCTTTTATAGAGACTTTGTTTTGAACACGCTTTACAAAATAGAATTTGATCTATAAAAATTTCTACACTTTTCTCTCTACATTGATAAAATACATAAAAAAGAACACACTTTTGTTATTTGTTCTGTATATTGTGGCACACACTTTTGTTCTTTATTAAAAACATATATGTATATATATGTGTAACAAATATTCTATTACACATATACACATAATACATATTAATATAAGCTCTATCACATTCATTAAATCTCTTCAAAAAAACATCAAACTTGTAAGCATAACGTTTGTTTTTAATAAATAAGTTTTATAATTTATTTATAATGTATTTATAATTTATTTATAATTTATTTCACTTAATCTCATACGTCGTTTAACTAAGTGTCTCTCCGTCTCAATTTTATCACATTTTTAGCGCTGAGAGCTGTCAGAAAGAGGGGAGAGAAAAAATACGAGACGTCCGTTAAGTGTAGAAAATATATAAGAATAAGAAGTGTAGTTACGGGAGATTTGCAAATCTCAACTTCTTTCATTTCAATTAGATAGCGTTCAGTGTTTCGCATTATGGTCAGTGATGAAGGATCGAGCCCGCAACAACGATCGTCACGGACGACGATTCTTGCTTGTGTGCGTGTCCCCACCGCTTCAATACTCTCGTTGCTGCGGGCCAAAGATGTTAGTTTTGAGACGTTTGCAGCATGCTATAGCGATGGAAGGGATGTGCACAAAGCAGCGAGTAAATGCTTGCTGATGTGCGCATCCCCCACTTGCTGCTGCATGCTGCAAGCGTATCAGAACTGACATCTCTGCTGCGGGCTCGATCTTTCGTTACTAATTATGACCACGTGGTTTGTTGCGAGTTTGTCAACCGCAATATAACCGTATTTTCTCATTGTAGCACTGTTTTGAAGACGAAAGCGCAAATAATTTCCGCGGTGTTTAAGAGGCTCTACGATTCTTCGGCACTCAAAGGAACGTGTTTCTGCCTGGCCAATCTATGTATGTGTTGCGCATTGTATTTATAACAATAATTCGAGCAGTCCGAAAAAAGGTGAGTACTTTATATATATACGTCCACGTGCGTATCTTCCGCCCTTCCGTACGCGCGCCGCGCGCGAGTATAGTTCTTGAATAATTAAACGAAATTTGTTATCGTATACGCGAAAATTGTTATCATACGTATTTCCAAATATGCTCTAATAACTCTGTTCCTTACGCAGTTGAGAAGTTTTTGTATACATATCGTAAACTCACCGTGTTGACAAGATGGATCCACTGTGCGACTGGCAGACGAAAGTGCAAAATGTTATAAAACGCTCTGAGTTTCTTTTCGGAACTGGATTGTGGTCAGATTGTCAGTTTATTGTAGGACAAGAATCCCAGCAGCAAATATTCAAAGGTCACAAGGTATTCTTAGCAATGACCAGTCCAGTATTTGAGGCTATGTTCTTTGGTAGCATGGCTGAAAAGAATGATCCAATACCAATAACGGATGTTCAGCCTAGAGCATTCAGAGCTTTGTTGGAATATATATATACAAACGAAGTGAAGCTGTGGTCAGTTGGATTGGCTTGTGATTTATATTACTGTGCTAAAAAGTACATGATACCATTCTTAGTGAAACAATCCAAGGACTTTCTGTTGTTACAACTCTCGTCACAGAACACTTGCAAGATATATGAACATGCTAAGCTGTGTGAGGATCATCTACTGATGAAAAAATGCATGCATATCATACGCTCAAGAACAGATGAAGTATTGAATGAATCCAGCTGGGAAGATGTAGAGTTAGATACAGTCCTCACAGTGTTGGAACAGAACAATTTGAAACTAAGTTCAGAATTAAATTTATTTAATGCTGTGGAACGATGGGCAAAGTCAGAATGTAGGAGAAAAAATCTTGATCCAAAAAATGGGAGTTCATTGAAGTCTGTTATTGGAAATGCACTCTCTAAGATCAGATTTTTGGATTTAAATGTACATGAATTTGCAAATGGTCCTGCTATATCTCCTTTACTCACACAGAACGAATCGTTTGCTATTATAATGAATATATGTTCTAACAAAAAAATACCCATGCCCGAAGGTTTTTCTACTAACATAAATAGTAGGTGGAACTCTACAATACGTCGTATTAATTGTGATAACTGTACTTGTCAGTGTAAAAGATGTTACTTTAATAGGACAGGGCATATATATGATTCTGATAGTTAACTAAATAACTTTTTCGTACTGTACTTTTAATATGCACAGTAGCCAACAGTTCGACTTTGTAAAGCACTTATTCTTATCTTTTATTGTTATGTTAATCTTTTTCTATCATATTTTCTATTGTTCTTCTAATCATGCATGTTTCTGTCTTTATATAACTTTTATATTTGCTTAATAAATTTTTTTTTACACGTTAATTGTAATACGTCACTTTATTTTGCAACCATCCTCATTCGATAGAGCTTAGCAATCAAACAATGTATCGATTTTATTTCTACTGCACGAAATGCTAATTTTTTGTCGTAATAGATACAACCTATAGATATAACTATTATAATAAATATAATAGACATTAAACACACTTGTATATTTTCTAACAAAGTAAGTTGTATCAACTAGTGTGTAGTTTCTCATTGGATTTCTCTTTTTTCCAGTTGCTCGAAAGGATCTGTTTTCCAAATACGTATGACAACAAAATTAATAATAGTAATCTGTGTTTTGACTTGATGGACACTCTAATGGTGCGTTACGTTTTTCGCCGATCGTAAATTCGGACGCAGGACAAAATACGATCAAAGATTCTAAGAATTTGTCGATTTCCTCTTCTTTTTTAGAGGTGTTTATGCGCGATAGGCCTAAACATTATTGTCTCAGATCGGACGTTCGATAAACGAAGTGTCTGATCACAAAAGTGGACTGTTCCGTCACGTTCAGAGTGGATAAAAACATTTGTGTGGTGGGTATACAAGTGCCTACGCAAAAGCCCATTAGGCTAATTTGTTTAATGGTTCTTCCTATTTATTATTTAATATTCGTTTGACAGGGAAATAACTTCGCCCAGTCGTTGGACGCCGATATGTCTTACACCGAAATTTTGTACGCCTATTTGCTGAATTGTGACGGCGCACGTTTGACGTACACACACTTCACCACTAAAGTGAATTTCGTTAATCTCGTGGAAATTTCTTTTAATCGACCAGTTTACATTCAGAAGCATTAAGGTTCGTCATTGCAATACAGAGGTTTTCTCATATTTCGTCGCCAAATTCATTAACTGTTCTCATTTTTCGATTTTAAAATCTCGATTGCTTGCAAATACAATTCTGTTCTATGTTGCTTGTTATAAAAATAATTTTCTATGAACAGGTTTATTGAGTTGGGGTGTGGTGTTTAACAAGGCCGGATGGTANCCNGTAGGAGTTTGCGCTCAAAACATGTCCTGTGATAATGTGTATTTCTCGTTTGGAGTTGGTAATACAGCACACGCAGTTCGTGACGGTCTTATTCGATCTAATAGTTTTCACGTATCATTAATTAATATCTGATGTCTATAGCTAACAAGGAAGGTTTTCGAAAATCTGAAAAACTATCCGATCTTTGCAAAAGCGTGTAAAAAAAGTAAAAAATATTAAATCTCTATAAAAGAAACCAAACTTGTAAACATAATGTTTGATTTTAATAAATAAGTTTTTGTTTAAACTAGCACAACACAGGCGCGCGCTACGCGCACGCTATTGTTATTTTTATTTAACGTGTTGTCAGTGAACACAATCTGTCATACACATACGCATATATGTATATATATATATATATATACCGTAATCACGTGACCGAAGTCAGTAACACCGCCGAGGTCAGTGACTTTACCGCAGTCACGTGACCGAAGTCATTGACCCTGCCAAGGCCGCGCGCCCGCGGTCAGTGACCCCGCCCCCACCAAGGCCGCGCGGCCGAGGTCAGTGACATTACTCTGTAGTACGCGCACTTCTTGGTACACATGTCTTTTTTAATAAAGGAAAAGTCGTACGTTGTTTAACTAAGTGTCTCACTATCTCAGTTTTCATTGCATCCTTTTAGCGCTGACAGCTGTCAGAAAGCAGGAAGAGAAAAAGAGCGAGAGATTAAGTACAAAAGATAGTGTAGAAAGTGTAGTTACGTAAAGATTCGCAGATCGCAACTTTCTTCATTTCATTTCTAGGTGGCGCGCAGTGTCTTGCAGTATGGCGACGCGTTTTGATGCGAGGTTGTGAACCGCAAATCTTCCTATCGTAGCGTTGTTTTGAAGACAAAAGCGCAAGTAATTTCCGGTGTTTAAGAGACTTTCGATTCTTCGGCAATCAAACGTTTGTAAGACTTTGCAGCGCGCGCGCACCTTGCGATTCTCTGTCGCGTTCTCTTTACGTGCCCCAGGAACGTGTTTCTGCATGGCCAGCCTACGTATGTGTTGCGCATTGTATTTATAGCGATAACTCGTGCAGTCCGAAAATAGGTGAGTACTTATATACGTCCACGTGCGTCATCTTTGCGGACCCTCCGTCCGAGTGTAATTCTTGAATAATTAAACGAAATTTGTTATTGTACATACTTGTACGTATTTCTAAATATGTTCTTTTTAGTAACTCTTTGTTCGTTTCGCAGTTAAGAAGTGTGTGTATACATATACGCAAACATAAACACGCCGTGTTTTCAAGATGGGTCCACCTTGCGATTGGCAGATAAGCAAGCAAAATTTTGAGGAACGTGGTCAGTATCTGTTAGAAACTGGACTGTGGTCAGATTGTCAGTTTATTGTAGGACAAGAACCGCAGCAGCAAACTCTCAAAGGTCACAAGCTATTCTTAGCAATGACCAGTCCAGTATTTGAGGCTATGTTCTTTGGTGGCATGGCTGAAAAGAATGATCCAATACCAATAAAAGATGTTCAGCCCGAAGCATTTAAGGCTCTGTTGGAATATATATATACAGACAAGGTGATGCTGAGCTCGTTTGAATTGGCTTGCGAATTATGTTACTGTGCTAAAAAGTACATGATACCGCCATTGGTAGAAAAATGCACGAAATATCTATGGTCGGATCTTTCGCCGAAGAAAGCTTGCAGGGCGTTCGAATTTGCCAAGCTCTTTGAGGAGCCTGTACTGACGGACAAGTGTATGCAGATCATACGGTCAAAAACAGATGAAGTATTGAATGAATCCAGCTGGGAAGACATAGAGTTAGATACAGTTCTCACAGTGTTGGAACAAGATGAGTTGCAAATAAATTCAGAAGTAGATTTATTCAATGCGGTGGAACGATGGGCAAAGTCAGAATGTGGAAGAAAAAATCTTGACCCAACAAATGGAAATGCATTGAAATCTGTTATTGGAAATGCACTCTCTAAGATAAGATTTTTGAGTTTGAACGCACACGAATTTGCAGATGGTCCTGGCGGATCTCCTCTACTCACACAGGACGAATCGTTTGCGATATTAATGAACATATTATGTTCCGGCAACAAAACACCCATGCCCGAAGGTTTTTCTACTAATATGAATAGTAGGGCAAAGTCAGTTTCTTCAGTAAATGTACGTCGTATAAGAAAACTACAGTGTAATAGTGTTCCTTGTATGAATTGTCGTATAGGATTTCGGTGCATCATGAAAACTCCTTTGTAACTAAATAACTTAATTTTTTATCGCATATTTAATGTGCACAATAGCCAACAGTTAGACTCTTTATGACATTTATCCTCTTTTTTTTTTATCGCTACGTGATCTTTTTGAATCGCATGTTTTCTATTATTTTCCTGTCATGTATGCTTGTGTCTTTATATAACTCTTTGGTTTTATCTAATAAATTGACACGTCAACTGTATAAATCCCACTCTTTATTTTACAACCATCCTTATTAGATAAAGCTTGGCGTTCAAACAGTGCATGAGTTATCGATTTTATCTCTGCTTCACAAGATACTAAATTTTTTTCTTACTAAATAAAAACTGTATAAACAATATTTTTTTTACGAATGTGAGTTGTCTTAGCTAGTGTGTGAGTTCTCATTAGATTTCTTTCTTTTTTAGTTGCCCAAAAGGCCTTGTTTACCAAATATCTATGGCAACAAAATGAATAATAGTAGTCTGTGTTCTGATTTTGATGGAGAGTCCAATGGTGCGTTACGTTTTTCGCCGATCGTAAACTCAGACGCAGGACGAAATATGATCAAAGATTCTAGGAATCTAGATCTTAGGAATTTGCCGAATTCTTCGTCTTCTTCAGGAGTGTTTATGCGCGATGGGCCTAAATATTATTGCCTCAGATCGGTCGTTCAACAAACGGATTGTCTGAACACAAACGTGATGGACTGTTCCGTCACATTCAGCGTGGATAAAAATATTTGTGTGGTGGGTGTGCAAGTGCCTACGCAAATCGTCACGGTAAGCTATAAATATACGAGCCATTAGGCTAATTGTCTGTTTGCTGCTTCTTCATACTTAATATTTAATATTCGTTTTTTTGATAGGGAGGCAACTTCGCTCAGTCGTTGGACGCCGATATGTCTTACACCGAAATCTTGTACGCCCATTTGCTGGATTGTGACGGCGCACGTTTGACGTACACACACTTTACCACTAAAGCAAATTTCGGCAATCTCGTGGAAATTTCTTTTAATCGACCAGTTTACATTCAGAAGCATAAGGTTCGTCATTGCAATATAGTTTTTAAACAATTATGACTTAAGGCTCGTGAAATTACCAACAAGATATGTATAAGGCCTTACGAGCCATTCTCAAGATGTTTTGAGTAGAAACTTGTACGTGTATATATATACATACACATGTAACGAATTCAACTTGTAAATTTTTACAAGTGAGTGTTTTTTGAGTTGAAAACTCAAATCTTAAAATCATACGGGATGCNAGATTTGCATCTCACATATGACAGACCCCGGATACCCCCCTAACTAATTTTAAAATTTTGCGAAAAAAACTCCTCGGCCAGGAGTCGAACCTGGAATCTCCGGCTTTCCGTGCCATCGTCTTCCCTGTTAGGCCATCGAGGCACTTGGAGTTAGTTTCGCAATATACATATATCAAAGATGGTCTGATGAATGTTGTTTAACGCATTCTTCAGCCAGCGTAATTTTAAACAATTATGACTTAAGGCTCGTGAAATTACCAACAAGATATGTATAAGGCCTTTTTTTCGCAAAATTTTAAAATTAGTTAGGGAGGTATCCGAGGTCTGTCATATGTGAGATGCAAATCTGGCATCCCGTATGATTTTAAGAATTGAGTTTTCAACTCAAAAAACACTCACTTGTAAAAATTTACAAGTTGAATTCGTTACATGTGTATGTATATATATACACGTACAAGTTTCTACTCAAAACATCTTGAGAATGGCTCGTAAGGCCTTATACATATCTTGTTAATATAGTTTTTCTCATGTTGCGTCGCCAAAAACTATCAACTCGCATCTTGTTCTCATTTTTCGATTTTAAAATCTCGATTGCTCGCAAATACAATTCTGTTCTATGTCGATTGTTATAAAAATAATTTTCTATGAACAGGTTTATCGAGTTGGTGTGGTGTTTAACAAGGCCGGATGGTACCCTGTAGGAGTTTGCGCTCAAAACATGTCCTGTGATAATGTGTATTTCTCGTTTGGAGTTGGTAATACAGCACACGCAGTTCGTGACGGTCTTATTCGATCTATAGTTTTCACGTATCACTAATACCTGATGTCGATAGCTAACAAGGAAGGTTCCCGAAAATCTGAAAAACAATCCTATCTACGCAAAAGCGTGTAATGAAAGCGTTTATGTAATAAAATTAGTTAAATTTCACAATCATTTTGACAAAAATATTGTGTAAAAATTTATGTTAAAATAACATAAAGATGATAAACTGAAATTTTGTATTTGACACGGTTTCAAATTATCCTCAACGAAGTATCTTTTATTTTTAAATTTTTTCCCAAAGATATTCTTTGTTCTTCATTTCTAGTTTTTCGAGTTCATCGTTGCCCTTTTTTGCAATATCTATCGATTCTTTTTACGACTTAATAGTTCGAGAAATTGAAAAATTCAACAATTTGACATTTGTGTATGAGATGAAAAGGAGTCCAGTCAAGAAATAAAGAGTTCAATATATGTGATTAAAGATCTCTAAATCATGTTAAAATTCTGCAAAGTTTTGTATTAGTTTTATTTTTCCAGTTCTCTCCAACCTTCCTTGAGGCGAAATCTTGTACGTATATATTATGACAAGTACGATTTCTGACGAGAATCTACTTTTGTGTTGTATATTACAATAATACACTATTTTAATTTTTAAGCGCACGTCTTTCATTGTGTATAAATATTAAAACTGCTTTAATAGTACAAATATACTCATCGATTCTAACATGATTTTTGTTTTACTCCGTACAGATATTCTTGTTTAACTGGTACAGTGATGTTTATTGTCCAAAAAAAGAGTTAGAAATTTTACTTTTAAATAAGTACTTTATTAAATCTTCATGCACATGTACGTATATTTTTGTGTGATTTGATTTTTACACATCATGATCAGTTCCTACGAAAATCCATGTAAAAAACAAATTTACTTAAAGAAAGTTATAATACTGTTCCGTATCCCATTGTTTCAACAAAATCTAGTATAAGCGAGAGTTTTAAAACGAGAGATTTATAATAGATATATCATATTTTTAATATTTTTTTCTACATGGTTTTGTGATGTTTTTGACAAATACGGCGTCTAAACACGCTTTACAAAATAGAATTCAGTCTATATAAAGTTTCTATTCTTTTCTACATTGGTAAAATACATAAAAAAGAACACGCTTTTGTTATTTGTTCCATATATTGTGGCACACACTTTTGTTCTCTATTAAAAACGAATATATAAAAAATATTTCATTACACATATACACACATTGTACGTATTAATATGAGCATTATAACATTCATTAAATCTCTATAAAAAAAAAATAAAAAAAATAAAAAAAAACAAACTTTTTGTAAGCATAACGTTTGTTTTTTTTATAAATACGTTTTTTTATAAATAAGTGGTTTTTATAATTTATTTCATTTAGTCTCATACGTCGTTTAAAAATGTATCTTATGTCTTTAACTTCTAAGAATTAAGTCTTCATTGAATAATTCTTACGTTTTATGTACAATAAAATCCCAGGTGTCTCTCCATCTCAATTTTATCACATCCTTAGCGCTTAGAGCCGACGTCCCGTAACTAAGTACAATGAACTTCTTGAACACATAACAGACAAACAGCATCCAAATGATGACACCACATGTGAGAATGTACGATGAAATGTTTAATGGACGATGAGCGCTGAAAAATAGAAGAAATCCCAGAAATATAATTTATTAAAATTTTATTTTACACAATATAGAGATCGTGCGATTTCTATTGTGCCAGGTGTCGGTTTTATTAAATCGAAAACATACCTAATTAAATAATACAGATGATCAATCGTAGCGGCCGTCAATAGGACTTTGAAAATAAAAGCTGGCAAATAATGATGCAGAAATAAAGTGCGTTCGACGAACAAGAAGGGCAAGAAATGAAGAAAATATCCCGCTAACAACACGTAAGCGTTGTTGACAAATTTCTGCCATTCTTCCTCGGTAATATCGATGCACTTTCTTCTTCTTCTCATCAAGTAAAATATCAGCAGCGCCGAATACACGATTATTGAAACAGTGCCGGAATACCAAATCACGATGTTTCCTAAAAGATGTACTTGCGCCTGAAACAGTGTAACAAACTCAATTAAATCCATTTCACTAACAAATTCCAAAATAATGAAGAATAACCGTAATTAATTATTTTTTTTCGATTTACATTGCTGTTGTTGGACACCCAGTACGCGATTCCTCGAGACATCAGCGGCCACTCGAGAGGTCCGCTGGAATACATGTGGCTGTTTTGACTTTCCTGGCCGCCGAACAACATTTTGACTTGCAGTTCCGCAAACTTCTCCCAAAAGCTCAACGCGGTCGCCTGCAGCGGTATCATCTCCGCGCTAATCAGCTCCCGTTCTCGTTGCTTCTGATCCTCACTCTTGGTGTATCGATGCTCCTCGACATTCCAGATGGAATTGGTCTGGTCAACCAACCGATCCGCCACGACCTCGTGCTGATTGAAGCCCCAGTCGGGCAGTTGCCTGCCGCTGAACTTCAACGCAAACTCCGCGCCGTTTGCGTGCACGTGTATCAACCGCACTTGGCTCTGTATCGCGTGCCACGCGTCGCCAGAGTGATCCCTGTTCGTGATCTCCACTCGCCACAGATTCTGCGCCGGCATCGACACGTTGTAGTCAATGTAGCAGGAAACCTCCTGGCTCTGCGGCGTCATCGGAGCCGCGACGTCGTGCGAATTCAACGCTCTGCTAGTGATCCCGTGTACCAGTTGAATCACGTCGCCGTGTCGGATGGGCTCGCTGGGCTTCGTCACTACCAGATCGTTTTTGTCCGGCCTTTTGACGATCCACCAGTTGTTGACGTCCTTAAACGAGTAACAGGTGACTTGCTGTTGATGAGAACTACCTCGGCCGTCGGGGTATCGCAGCGGATACATGTGATTGTGACTGTGCAGCCAGCAGGCTCTGCCGTACGTGTGCCGGAGAGTGATCTGCGAGCCGTGCGTCACTTCCAGAGGCTGTCCCTTCGTGATGCTCGCAAGTCCACCTTCCAGACTCGCTTGGAACGCGCTCGTCATCACCGAATCGTGCGGTCCTGCCTTCGAAAGTATCGCCAGATGTACGTAAAAGATGCTCAGATACACGGTGGCCGTAACGCTGATCAACACAACGAGCCTCATCAGCAGATGCAGCCACAACATCGCGCTCGACAGGGTTTTTCTCGGCAGCAACGACCAGTAATCGCGAGCGATTAGGAAGAGCGCGAGAAGCATGGAATAAAATCCGACGTACTTCACGCTGCAAGATAAAAGTTGCGATCGTATACGCAAATTTGATCGGGAACGAGAACAGCGACGAGATACGTACCATAAGGCGCACGTTAAGTTCACGGTGCCGAGTGTCAGCCATATCCACCAGGACGCGGACGTCGGTCGGTCCATAACTTTCCGAAACTTAACGATGCACAACAGTCCGAGCAGCGAGAATTGTATCAACATGCTTTCCATCAATATAAATCTCGATTGTGTCAGCAAAGCATTGTCTGAAACACAATACTATTTATATCAATACAACATATCCGTACAACGCGTGAAATAGAAGCACGAAGATATCAATAGCGTCAATAAACACAATAATATAATAAATATTATACAATTATCGTATACATACACAAACAATTTCATTATTGAAATTATATAAAATTACACATTTTTTTTTCTCTATAAATTTCTCTATTCAAAGGATTAATGAAACAGCTGCGAACGGTCTGCTTTTCGCGATCTCTCGTGCAATGCGCTTTCTAATCTCACAAAGTGCCTACCGAATAACAATAGGATTCCGCCGATTGCCGCGGCCCATTGTCTCAAGCCCAGTTCCAGAACGAGATAGTATCCTGTTGGGATCAGGAGACTGCCGCATATCGCTGGTACCAGACGCAGAGCATACAACGGAATCGCATCGCTGTAAGGACTTCCGATTCTGTCGAACTTGAACTGTCCGTCAAATCCAGCAAGATAAGCTGCCGCGGACACCAGTTGCTTCCCCAGAGGTGGATGGGAATCGAAGAAAAACGTTCTCCTCATGTACAATCCGACGTACTTGCCGTAATGCAACTCGTCGAAGCTGCGGAAAGAAATAATTTATATGTGTAACAAACGTGTTATATTTTCATTCTCGCTTTGATCACGCGCGAGAACGTATACATATTTAAACTTTAAAAGTGCGCATATATTTACACTATACTTCGTGGCTCGTCGAGACGATAGAGGCGAGTACAAACACCCGCAATGAGTAAGACCGCAGCTATCAAATCGATCTCCAAGCTGATTCTGATTCGAGCGGAATTACTGTCGTTCGGTAAAAGCCGTTGCGTCTCCACAAAGTTTGTTGCTGGATTCGCTTTGTTATTTTCTACTGGAGTGTACGAAGCTGCCTGTTCACTCTTCTACAAAAGAGCGTAAATTAACACACATACGTGTGTAGTGTAAAAATAATTAAGTGATATGATAATTAATTATTTCTAGAATTTAAAAATAGAATCTAAAAAAACAATCTACACACTTCAAAACGATAATAAAAATCGACTAACTCTAGTTTGTTTTAAAACTTTAAAAATTCGCGGGCAAATAATTCGCGAGCTACGTAAAAATGCCGCCAAAATGTATTTCGCTTTGCGAAATTTTCTCAACGCGACACCGCGCGCACATTCCGACCATTTTTCACGTCAGAAACTAGATACAGAACCATCCTCACCTCGTTTCTTTGAATCACTTTGGAATGATCCGTCGTTGGATCGGCGTCCTGCGCCGAGTGCGCGCTGCTGTGCCTGTCATCCTGCGGTTTTCCTCGTCTGCGTCGAACTTCCATCGCGCCAAGTATTCGCCGCGAAGACAGTTTGCGCAAGAAACAGACACAGCGCACAGTTTTCGCAACTATCCTTAAAAAAATTTTTTGCGCATACCAGGAAGAAATATATTGCTTCAGTCGGACTATCACACGCGTTATCCTTGAATCGTTTCCTCGAGTAATTTTCTCAGATCAGTATACGTTTTTCGTCGCGTTTCCGGACGCTCAGTCGATTCCGAAGACCGTTCGGCACGTTTGAAGAGAAAATCTATAGGACGAGATCTGACGCGGTCCACGTCAGCGCAGTCTGATACGCCTCCAATGAAGGGTCCTTTTCTCGCAACGTGACCCCCCCATACGGAGATTCTCGCAGATTCTCGGAATTCCTGCGAGACGTTCCTCGGAAGACGGACCCAGGTCAATTACTCGCGTCGATGAGCGCGATCGAACGCGATCGATTGGGAATAGTGACGAGGACCCGTTTGCGAAGTCATCGAGTTTCACGAACACGCGCGAGCTTAGGTTAGCACAAGTTTGACATAACGGTATCGTCTCTAAAGATCCTGTTTCGACAACGGTTCTGCGCATCGCGCGCGCGGCAAGCTTTGTACTTTTGCGCTCGCATCTTTCTCGATCCTTTCGTCACCTGTTGCATTGTTATTGATTTGTTGCAAGCATGGATGTCGACAAGATATCGTGTCCGCTATGCGGCAAGGATTTTGCCTCGTCTGTCATCGAAGCTCACGCCAGCAAATGTTGTTTTCTGAACGAAACCGCGTCGGACAAAGACAAGTGGACCAGTTGGGACAAAATTTTGTTGAGGGACTCTAGTCCAAACAATAGAGGCGGTAAATTGTTGAAAGACTCGAGTCCCAGCAACAGAAGCGGCAAATTGTTAAAAGACTCGAGTCCCAGCAGTAGAAGCGGCAAATTGTTAAAAGACTCGAGTCCCAGCAGTAGAAACAATAAATTGTTGAAAGACTCGAGTCCCAGCAGTAGAAACAATAAATTGTTGAGAGACTCGAGTCCCAGCAGTAGAAACAATAAATTGTTGAAAGACTCGAGTCCCAGCTGTAAAAATATTAATTTGAAATCGGCACATGTGAAACGAGCCAATTCATTAGATTTACCCCAAAAGAGGAAAAGTTCTTTGGATCAGAGTTTTCTGGAAGAGGAAGATCTTAAAGTTGACTTACCAGAAAAAAGTGTAACTATTGTTAGTTTATTTTGTTTCATTTTTAAAAGGTATTTTGATTGAATATGCCACTTTAAAATTGTTTTACTTCAATAAATCAAGTTCAGTTCAATATAAGATATAAAGTAAATCATTTATTGTTTTATATTTTATCTGTATGTAAGTTCTTATATTCCTACATAAGATACAAATTTTACTTACAGACAAACAAAGGATGCAAGAAATTACGTGGAAACGAATGCACGCCTCTTGCAGAACAGATGAGACCCACGTCATTACTGAACTTTGTCGGCCAGAAACACATTCTTGGACCAAATACTATGCTCTCGGAGCTCCTGCAAAAGGGAGAGATTCCCAACATGATTCTCTGGGGTCCGCCTGGATGTGGCAAAGTATTTCGTTGCATGAATCTCTCTAATTTTATCTGCACGAACACACATCTAGAAGATGCGATCGACAATGCCAAACTGGTTATACGAAAAAAAAATTAATAAATTGACAATATTTCCACATGTATGTTCGCTTTCTTACAGACGTCTTTAGCCAACGTAATCGCGCACATGTGCAAGAATGACGCGAGTCGCAAGCTCCGATATGTCAAACTCTCAGCGGCGATGGCTGGCGTTCAGGAGCTGAAGGAAGTCATCAGCATCGCCGCAAATCATGCCAAATTCGCTCAGCGCACAATAGTGTTCATGGACGAGATACACAGGTTCAATAAAACTCAGCAAGATGTGTTTTTGCCGCACGTAGAATCTGGGACCATCACTTTGATCGGCGCGACAACGGAAAATCCTTCATTCAGTTTGAATTGCGCATTGTTGAGTCGGTGCAGAGTGATCGTTCTGCACAAGTTGTCCGTCGCGAATCTGATCTCGATCTTGAGACGCGCAGTAATTTCACTGAAGGGCATAATACACGAGTTTGATAAACGCGAAAGCGATCAAGCGAAAGAAGGTACATCGAGAGAAGATAAGATCAAAATGGAACCATCCCACAACACGAAGTTCATTATAGACGAGCGGACAATAGAGTGGCTGGGTGAGACCTGCGACGGTGATGCGCGAATAGCTCTGGGAGGGTTGGAACTGGCTGTGCGATGCAAGGCGCCGAATGAAGAGGAATTATTGAGCGTCGGTCCGGCCATAATAACGTTGAACGATATCGAGGAAATTTTAAAGAAGACTCACATGTTGTACGATAAGAAGGGCGATCAACATTACGACATGATTTCCGCGTTACACAAGTCGGTCCGAGCCAGCGACGAGAACGCTTCGCTTTACTGGCTGACCAGAATGATATCCGGCGGTGAAGATCCGGTCTATATCGCGCGAAGATTAGTGAGAATGGCCAGCGAAGACATCGGCCTAGCTGATCCGAAAGCTCTCGGTTAGCTGATTAGTAATTCTAGTTGAATTTGAATTTGTGAAATTTTTATTTCAATATCGCGCACTCTCACACGTCATTATATATTATTAATATATTTGTTTCAGGAATAGCGATGCACACAATGCACGGTTGCAAAATGATTGGAATGCCTGAGTGCGATGTTCTCCTGGCGCAATGCACAACGTATCTAGCGAGAGCTCCGAAGTCTAGACTAATGGACAACGCACTTAGAGCTGCACAAAGAGTGGTAGCCGAGCACAAGGGTCCGCAGCCAGGAGTGCCCTTGTACCTGAGAAACGCCCCCACAAGACTCATGAAGGACTTGGGTACGCACACATATAAATTCTTTATATTGTGCAATTTTATTCTCTGATAAAATTCCTTAAATTGAAAATCAATCTTTCAGGACACGGAAAGGGATACAATATGAGGCAGAAAGATGAATCGGGACTGAGTTATTTGCCGGAAGGGCTGGAAAATCTAGATTTCTTCGGAGATAACGATGATACAATGTGAAAGTTTCATGTAATTTTTTTTTCTTTTTTTGTACTGTAGTATATTTTTGTTCTAATATTGCGTTACCACTAGAGAATTAATGCTGTATTTTTTTATTTTGTACTTTATCAGATAGAGAGAGAACTTTTTTCACAGAAGCTTGAGTATCATGAACATTGATGTGTAAGTAAAGTAAAATCGTGATGTAATGTACAGTATATGGATGTATATATGTAAATCTATAAAACTAAAAGCGAACTGTTATCAACACACAATAATACATACAGAGAATATGTATATAAATAGGAAGCATTGGGTTATCGTTGCTCATCGAATACGTTTAAATATTGTATCGATTTCACACAAAAACAAATTGAAGATTCAGTAACAATTATTTGTTCTATTATATGACACAACGTAAAGTTTCAATTCTTCAATCTTTATGAACTCGCACATTTTCTCCAAATTATAGTCTTGTTATTAGCGGGCATGTCTACGATTTCTACTAACAAAATATTGTTGTCCTTGGCCAGCTTTTTCAAGTCTCTCACATCTCTCAGACCCCACGTCGAATTCTCCAGTTTTAAATTCTTATCGAAGATCACGTTACTTTGCGGAGTGATCTGACCATCAAAAGCGTACGGTCCGTATGTGATCAGCAGTCCGTTCGGCTTCAGCAACAGTCCGGCGTTCTTGAACAAACTGATGGTGCACTCGTAAGGCGAGATGTGTATCATGTTCGCGTTATAAATGTAGTCTATGCTGTTTGGCTGGAAGATACCGTAACCCCACTCTTGGTAGTTCGTTGTGACGTCAATGTTCACGGGTCTTTTTATATTTAAGTCTCCGTAAGAATGTGCCTCTATGCTTTCCAGAAGTCGCGATTCTCTTTCTGACGGATAAAACATGACTTGCGGAAAATGCGGCGCAAAGTATGCGATGTGTTGTCCCGAACCGGAAGCTATCTCCAGGAAGATGCCACGTATAACATAGCGTTTTAAAACCTGTAGGATTGGATCCTTGTTGCGCTCCGCCGGAAGATAAACGAGTTTTTTGTTATCCATATTCTTAACACGCAACCTTGAAGAAATTTTAAAATATGGCTTTACTATTACGGCTTTTTTGTTATGGAAAATGTTTGCACAAATGTGCGTGTCTCACCTTCTATTCTCTTCTGCTAGATGCTCGGTCAATTTGTTTATTTCAGTAATTTGTTTACTTTCGAGTCGGTCACCTGATTCTACTGTTTGCGTACCTACAGAAACAGGCATATCCTGAAAAATGGAAAATATTTTTCACAACAACGATACAATTTTTGTGTGAAATAAGATTTATATAAATTTAATAAAAATCGTAAAAAAATTTTCTAAATTTATTAATTGTTACACATGCAAGTGAATTGTAGGTGAAGTTTCATGAATTATTCAATACTTTACAATGAGCTAATACATTTAAGGAACTGTAAGAGAAAGAAAATAACAAGTAACAATTGATTGGATAACGGATAATAAAACAAGTTCAGTGTTAATTTAATGTCTCTACGCACATATTTATTGATAAACATTAGTTTCATTACAAAACTATTTATATGAGATGAATTATAACTTTCATTTCTTTTGTTTATCAAATAAATGACAAATTGTAGAACTATATGTAACAGAGAATACCTGACAACCGTACATCAGCATTGACAGAACGTATCAAAGTAAACACAGTAGGGATAACAGAGACATTAGGACCTTTTTACACCAGCGTGATGTTCATTGCAACAATATGGATATAAATTGTTTTGAGCATATGCACAACGTGCAGCTGATGCGATCTGCCTTGCATTGTTCAGATTAAAACACACAAGCCACAAAAAATTGTTACATTTATTCGATAAAAGTGGCTGCGATGAACATTGCTGTAATGTAAAAAGGTTCTTAGAAAATGGGTAACATGTAACATTTATGAGAGTACAAGTCATTTAACTACTAAACTCTCTCCTACTTTAAACTGATATCACAAGAGGAACATATAATTCAGCATCACAACAAAAAGGAAACTTAATGAGTGCTTGAACACACTTTTTTTTACTGTACAATATATATATGTACACAAGAAGAACACAAGTTGCAAAGATCTACACATTTTATCTACATACATTGTTCGTCGTAAAAGTCCCTGTAGATCGCAATAAATTACAATTGCAGCAGAGTTTTGCTTGTCTCAACTCGGATTTCGGGAGCAGCACCGGTTTTGCCCACTTTGGCACAAGTTGCGCGACGTTGCGGATACGTTCCATATTCACTGTCAGCACAGAAAAATCATTCGCGTGACGTGAACTATAGATTTGCAGTACTAGAAGTGCGTGAATATATTAGAACATAGTTTGCACATACTGCGCATACACACATATACAAATTACCGAGTGACCGACATACCATGAGGCCGACATAACCACGACATGAGGCCGCAAAAGACGAGCCGAGAGCAATCCGATTAAACCGAATCACTGATTTAAGTCAAGCAAAACTCTGTTGTATTTGAAATAATTTAACTACAACTCGATATTTACTAATTAGCTTCAACGTCTCTTTTTATCTGAGCTGTCTCTTTCTTTAGCTGCCTTTTCCTTTCTTTCCAGACTCTTTTTAGATTTCGTCACCTCTGGTATGTACACAGAGTGTCCGGTTTTCTTTAAATGTTCGAACAATTTATTTTTACTAGAAAACTCCAACGAACAAGTGACGCAGCAATGAGCCAAATTATTAACGTCCGCAGTTGAGCTCTTATTTTTCTCTCGCCCCTCTTTCTTCGATCGTTTCTTTGTTTTCTCAGGTTTCACTTTTTCATTAGCAACACTTGCGTCTTCTGTCGTTTCGTTCTCGTTGTCCGCCTCTTCTTGTTGTTCTTCATTCTGCGTCTCTTCGTTACTTCGCTGCTGTTTATTAATCGCGGCCTTCTTCTGCTGTAATTTTTTACGTTGTTTCTTGGACAACCACATCTCCTCGTTAAAGCTTATCGAATCCTCGTCGTCGTCACGTTCCAACGCAAGATCAGGATTCTGAATATTGCGCTTTTTCTTTTTCTTTTTCTTCTGCCGACCCGTCAATGCAATTTCTTCATCCTGATCCGATATTAATTCGTCCTCAGAAGTTAAATCGTCATCTTCATTTTCTACTTTCGCGGGTGGAAACGAAAAGCTTTTCATTTCCGGAACAGCAACTCCTGGTATTCCATTGCTCATCTTATTTGTTGATGGAGAAACTTCCGAGATTTCCTCGTCGTCCGAAACCAGCTCGCCGGGAGATGTTTCTTCATTATCCTCATTGTCCGATTGTCTCGCGTTGCTCTGAGAAGGTGGATTCAGCAAGAAATCAGGCATCTGCGAGTCCGTTGCCAAATTAGGTTTATTATCGAGCGAACCGGTAGTCGAGTTGCTTTCGTCAGAAATTTCCCCAGACTTTTCTTCATCAACATACAAATCCTTCATCATACTAACGTTCTCCTTGTGCTTCTTCGAGTTTTCGTGATTCGTAAAAGCTTTCTGCGTCTTGAAGACTTTATTGCAGGCGATACAGTAGAGAGCGTCGTCGTCTTCAATCGCTTTCTTGTCGTCCGTGCCGAATTCCGCCGCCAAATTCTTCTCGATATTCGTTAGCTCCGCCTCGATGTTCGAAAACTTGGACCAAACCGACTCGGTGTGATTGCGCAGTAACTTCTGCCTCTCCAGCAGATGCGCCTTCTTACGCTCCTCCAATTTTCGCAACGCCGCGGAACGTTTCTCGCGAGCAATTTCGGCCTGTATCTTCGCGTGAGCCTTTACCCTCTTGTCCTTTGCGCGAACGTGGGCGACGAGAGAGCGCACCTGTTCGTTTCTCTCGCGCCTCGCCTTGTCCCGCACTTTCTTGTTTTCTTTCTCGGCCATTCTAAGTATTCGCCGATTCGGCACCGTGCGTATGTCATAGGGATCTAACCAGGCGTATGATTTCTTGGTGCAATAACTCTGCCAGTAAACGTAAAAGTTATGCACCACGTCCTCGTAAGAGCTCTTGGAGTTACCAAAACAGGGAATTTCTTCGTCGGAATCGCCATCTTGGGCGAACTCCGCGTCCTCCGCTGTCAGTTTTTCGAAAACGTTTCGATAGACGGCATAGAAACCCTTTTCATCGTCCCCGTAACCCTTGAAACACGTCTCGGAGAAGTAAGGTGCAAGATTGAGGGAATCGTCCTGATAATCCGTGCCGAGACCGCCTTTCAAAATGCCCTCTCGATGCTGATCGTACCAAGCACGTTCCTGAGGATTGCTCAGTATCTCGTACGCTTGCTGCACAAGCTGGAACTGTTCCTTAGCCTCGTCCGGATTGTCAACATTCTTATCCGGATGCCATTTCAGTGCTAGCTTCCTGTATGATTTTTTTATTTCGTCGTCCGCTGCGTTTCTTGCAACTCCTAATACCTCGTAGTGACACTTCATTGTACCTCGGATACAATTAAACCCAACTCTCCCCTACGAGAGAATTCCTATTGTTTAAGAAAGGTTAAATTTCTATGTAAGCCAAAAAACATAAACACGAATTGAAAAGCGCAAAATAAGTCGCTACGAGACACCGATTTCGCCACAATATTTACACAAGCTCTATTTTTTTTTTTCAAAAAATTTATCCTCGTGTAAAATGTTTTACACCTAAGCTTGTTTACGTACAAACTCACTAATACGTATACACTTAATACGCCAATTTCACAGATACGTGATTGATATCTCTTTAGAGTACAAGTTTCTAATATCTCTTACATCGCGTAAGCCACGTGCAGTTAACTTTTTTAATGATTTACATCTCCCGAAGAAAAAAGAACATATATATGCTTACCTCTAATTATTAAAAACCCTTTTGTTGTTGATAAGATTTGTGCAGTACGCAACTGGCACCGAACAATTCAAATGACAAAATAATCATAGACAGCCTTTTTACTATTATATATCTCAAGTGTGTATTTTAACGGAATTCTCTCTACCATGGTTTGGTGCAGTATTGGCTCAGCGGAACGATTAAAGCTAGTCCATACGCCATTTTATGCGTCGTCTACAATGAGAATTTAAGCTGTAAGGGCGATGTCCCATTGAGCGGAAATCTATAGCGGAACGAAATGTGCGGAACCAGCTCGACCAATCGTAACCATAGAAAAAGCGAAGGAAAGAAAACGGAATGGCTATGATTGGTCGAGCTGGTTCCGCACATTCCGTTCCGCTATATATTTCCGCTCAATGGGACATCGCCCTAAGACTTAAGCTTTAAGAAGGTACAAGGCTCGTTTCCACTATCTACGATTAACTTACCGATCGATTGCGAGTCAATTGAGATTGGCCAATTTAGTCAATCGACCAATATGATTGGCAATTCCAACAAAATAATCGACCGATTAAGTTAATCGGAGATGGTGAAAACGGGTCTTATACCTTCTTAAAGCTTAAGTCTTACGGCTTAATGGGATCCTAAACTGACGGTCGAACTCCGTCAATTTACCGACTGAGTTTACAGCTTTTGGCGTCAGATTGTAGTAATATTTGCTTAATATAAAAAGTTATGCAGTTTGTACGTAGAAAACCAACTGCGTCCCGTTTTCGGAACAACATAAAGAACAATATAGAGCTCTCAGAAATGCGTTTAGAAGCCTAGTATGAATAAATAGTGTGCGTGAATATTTTCAGAACAATATTGGAATACACACACTATTTACTCATCATTTCACGCACACTATTTATTTACACTAACCTTCTAAAAACATTTCTGAGAGCTCTATATTGTTCTTTATGTTGTTCCGAAAACGGGACGCAGTTAGTTTTTTACGTACAAACTGCACAACTTTTTATATTAAAGAATTAGCACTACGATCTGACGCCATACGCTGTAAATTCAGTCGATAAAACAGATTCAGTTTAGGATCCCCTTAAATTCTCATTGTAGACGACGCATTATGTGACTTCTCTCTACAAGCAGAGACAAGACGGAAAAGTGGCCAAGCCTATACGAGATTCTCGCTTTTCCGATCTGTAAGCCAGCGCACTGTTTATAGGTGGTGCACATTGTCAACTACGTAGCCATATCCACGAGCGACCTGTGTCGGTACGTGCGCTATGTCCAAAAGTGGACATGGTTCTATTCCGCGCTATGTCCACAGCATGCGATTCCATTCTGTGCTACGTGCACGAGTTCAAATGGTCACCATCTTCAAATGTGTGAGTAAATTCGCGAGCGTGAATTTTTGATTACTTTTTTGGAATTTAAAATGACCGGTCTCGTGATGAGAAGATGACAAAGGAGAACAGAAAAGGTGATAAGAAATTGCAACTTTCCATACAACATAGATGTGATAAACAAGAAAAGATGTGATAGTCAAGAAAATTATATTATTTTAGCGCGAGCAACATCAGAATTCATAGATTCCACATAGTTGAGCGAATATAAAGGTATGAAAACTATAAAAATTTGCAACTTTTTCACACAATAAAAACGAGAAATGTATAATGGCCATTTGAAGCAAAAAAAAACACTGGTGATAATGTGTGTATGATAGAGACGTTACTTTATTCAAGCAGGTAACATAGAACGTTTTCGGCCTTAGATTAGTTACTTTGATATTTCTAGTTTGTAAACATGTGACTCGATAAGTTTTCAATTCAAGAACATCATATTTATATATATATTGATAAAGGCCTAATCTAAGGCCGAAAACGTTCCTATGTTACCTGCTTGAATAAAGTAACGTCATCTTTTAAACGATAAAATTATTTTTTTTAAGGTAAAATCATCGTTTAAAAAATAAAATCTCATCTTTGTGTGTGTAAGATAATATCATCTTTTAATAATGTGTTTAATTCTCTCTCTCTCTCTCTCTCTCAATCGCTTTCACAAAATATATTTAAAATCAAATGCGTTTGACACCCACACATCACACATTCCGCAAACGTTTAATAACACACAATTTAATAAGAAATATAATTTCTCGGACGGAGTGTGTGCTATATATTTACGTGGAAGGTTGCAGTTCTCGTCTCGTTTAATCTTGTCATATATATCGTAAAGTTAATATCAATTCAATTCTTCTCGGTATACATATATTGATTCGTGTGTTTCTTTTGCGCATTAATCTGGGTTTTACATATTGAAATTTTCTTTTAATCGATTCCTCATTCCGCTGTTTACTTATTTGCGCGTATGATATTACGCATATACACATATGTACGTCTAATAGTCGCACATATACACACATAAATCCGTGAAAACCGGTTGCCTTATTAATCCCGGCATTATCTTATTTATTAAACGGTCGAACAAGCGACAGTGCGAAAAACCATTACTTGTAATTAATGCGCTCACGTAGGGAAAGTAATAACCGCGTGTATCGATTTAGATAAAAATGGAGTGCGAAAATGCGGTTACCCCGAGTTACCTGACTGTTCGGCTGAATATTCGAGCGACAATATTTATCTGGCCGTGCTAACGACAGCGATTATCTCTTCGAGTAATATGATGGGCGGTTAGGACCGGTTACCAGCGATGCCGATCGATGCTAACCTCGATTAATTAAATTTTGTTACTGTATCTTTCTCTCTACAGGGTGGTGTTTCGCGGCTGTTACCCTTTTAAACGACAAAATCCTTGACTGATATCGTATAAAATTTTTTTCCAGCCAGACCGGTGGTGACAAATGTTTTCCAATCTGCGCGAGCAAATATCGAAAACACACTAAAAAAAAAAAAAAAAAAAAGGAAAATAAATTATCGAAATATTTTACGTTAAATGCTAATTTAGGACGAAATAAATAAAAAGAAAAGTATTTTGAACCAGTTTCGATATATTAATTCCGCGAACTGGAATTAATTTTAATATATCATATTTAAAACATCACAATTATCAAAAAATAAATAAATAAATTGGAATCGCGATAAAATAAAAAAAAAAACGAGGGGAAGAGAGTTACTTCGCCTTGAATAATTGATTAAGGCGCTATTTGTCGCTAAGAGAAAATTCGAACTCGTCTGACGATTTTGTAGCGTCACGTTTAGCTGATCGGTCGCCGTGTCATACGATTAGTCGCAGAACGAAATTAATCAGGTCGCACAAAAGCGGTCGTAAACCGCAAGCGAAGCTGCGTACAGAGTGCCGGTGCACTTCTGTTGTCGAGTTTCCAGTTAGTTGCGCGCGCGGAGGGCTGCTCGGGCGATTGTTTGAGCAGTCGCTCGAATTCCGGTGTATCACACAGTCGCCATTCATTCGCGCGCTTCTCTCGCTATCTTCCGATAGCACACACCACGCCACGGCAGTCGTTCTATCTTCCGATAATACACCGCGAATACACACACACAGAGAGAGAGTTCTCGACGCGCTTCCGCATTATATTTTTGCAGGTGTCGCGCACATCCTTGGATTCTCATGCGTTACGTGTGTGACTGCAAAGTATCCGATAAAAATATACTCACGCGCGACTCGCGTTTATTTATTTCAAAATCCATTTGCATTAAACGATAATCCTTCTCCCTCGCCCTCTCTCCTTCTTTCTCTGATTAACCGAATCTTTGATATAATCCATTGAATTTTCACAGCGCGTAAAATGCAACGCTATTATTACGCGGGAATTATAAAGCAGCTGGGATATAATTCATAAAGCGCGTTTAATGTATCGACGTGAAATTTTCACGAACTATTATAATACGCGAGTAACGAGCTCGCGCGCAACTTTTCGAGCGTTGTCGTATCGTTGTTGTCATGTGAATTTTGCGCAAAGGCAGCATATTTGCCAGGAAGTAGGATTTTTTTTTTTCCTCGATATCACGATGTACACAGGTGACACGAAATTATGCAAGCAAAGAAAGGAGAGAGAGAGAGAGAGAGAGAGAGAGAGAGAGAGAGAAAGAGAAAAAGAGAATCGCGTGCTCGGAAACACAGAACGGCGGTCACAGAAGTTTTAGCGATCGCCTTCGTGCTCGCCGTCGTTGCTCCATTCTTCGTTACACACGTGTGTAAATAAAGAGAAAGACCGCGCGTAGTTTATATACTTTGTGACCGTGTTGTACAGAGTTGATGGACATCGTCCGATGGCGCGGACTCGTTTACCATTAGACGCGGCCCCCCGTGTTTGCAACAGCGAGAGAGACCGACTCTCGCGCGCCGCGAATCTCGGCGAACGATAAACCGGCGCGAGAAACTCGAATCTGTGTGTGTGTGTGTGTGTGTGTATGTATGTGTGCACCGGACATTTCAACACTCGTAATTATACACGCCCATCCACGTAGCAAAGAAATTGATTTCTTCGCGGGTAGAATTAAATATTTCCGTTTTATTTCCCGCCCGTCGGAGAGCGGGCGGGCGTAATTTACGAAGCGGACACCGGCGAGTGCGCGCGATATATTTTCTTCGCGCACAAGTCCGGTTATTTTATATTGACAATTTGTCACTTAACGGTGGATTGATACCCGGTTACAAGTTCTCGCTCGATACCATTTCACAGACGATATATATATGTATAATATAGTAACCGTCGTGGTTGCACGTGACATTGAAAATGCGTTTCAAGCGGATCATTTGATAAGATACATCTCTCGTTACACATCGTATACGCAAGATGTATGTATCTCGCGAAAAAATTGGGGAGGATGATTCAAATTGTTATTGCGATTATAAACGCGATCGCTCTTCGATTTTCGTTCGAATTCGCGCGCAACAGATCTGTAGTTTTTTTCGCCGTAATACTCGCAAACAAATATTTTACGCGCAAACAAGCTGTGTATTTGTACAGGAATTTACATATTTGAGTACGCCCGTGCGCAACCCCCGCGTATGTTACACACGTCTTGCGCCGCCTTTGTCTCACAGATGAACCCCAACGAAAATCGTAGACGACCGATTGTATCCGAAGACTCGTGGGGAGAATCCACGTGGCGCTTCGCGAAGACTTCGGGATCGAATTCTTCGGTTCTTCCCAAATCTTGTAGATGACGTAACTATATTAATGTGATATTATGTACATACTGTTAAAAGTTTACAACGATGTGTACTTTGTGTTTAGCGGAATTATATTATGCATGTACATACATATGCATGTGCTTTATGTGCATTTGTATGTACATGCATAATATAATTCCGCTACTCACGCATACGCGCGCGCGCGCATACACACATAGCGTATACACACATCGATAAACTTTTATGCTTAACAATAAGCTTCATATCTGTGTAATAATAGATCAAATAAATATCAGATAATGTTTCATTTGCTAAAGGTATCGGGGGATTTAGCATCGTCTCCATTTCTATTTGCGAAAAGCTTTTTCGGTGAAGCATCGCGTATAAATCCCGTGCAAAACCCGATCGTTAAAATTTGAAGCAAAACGGGAAGATAAATTCGTCGTGCGCGAAGTATCAGTGAATTTTCATCGCACAAAAGCTTGATATCTCGATAATAAATCGTGATTAAGTATTAAAGATTAAACAAATGTTTAATTACATTCACTAAAGGAACGGAACAGATCAAACTATTTTAATTAAAAGAGTTAAAGTTTCACATTTTCTTTGCTTTTTTTAAAATTTTTGTCGTGCTTTATTTAAATAAGATCGATACTGTAAATTAATTATTTCATAGTAATTTTAATCAAGCTCTCTCTCTCTCTCTCTCTCTTTCTCTAAATATGAACAAATTGCATGTATTATTCAAACTTGTCCAACCTACCTGGACGAGTTTGACAAATCTAAATAGCACGTACAGTTTATCTATATTAACAACACCGACACACGTAAAATGATATAGAAGGCTCCGGTTGGAAAAACTCGCATTTAGTTCGTCGTGATTCATAACTTTGCGGTACGATCAAAAAATGCAGCAAAAACCGTTTCGTTGAAAAGTGTGATAAATTTTTTGTCGCACGTGTACGTACAATATTCTTGAGAGAGAGAAGATATATATGGTTATTATTTATTGTACTTAAAGCCGTCTTGTTCTACTTGTTGTTTACAAACTATCTCATTTTCCTTAATTTCTATCTGTCAAGCAAAATGCAACGTTTATAAATTTTCAATAAACTTGTCGAAAATTCAGTCGTGTATTTTAAACTCTCTTCGTTCACACAATGCGATTGACGACACACACATACACGCACACATGACTTGTGTACGTATGGGTCTAGTTCTTCAACGTCTCGTAGATGGCGCTGAGCGGCACGTTGAATTCTCAGCTTTTTATGCGGGCGCTTGCGTACGCCGCGCCAGTCGCGAAACGGCTTTCGCGTTGGCAGTGTGTCTGTTTGTTTGTCCGTCGCGCTGCCTCTCTGTTAAACGTCCTTTTCTTCTCTCTTTCTCTCTCCTCCTGTGTTTTCGTTCGCGTGCACGATCTCCCGTCTACACAACATTTGATATACAAAACCCCGTACGAAACGCAAAACGAGTGACAGCGTTCGACATTCAACCCGGACGATGGACATCCGCGGTCATCCGCGTGACGTTGTCCCGCGGGAATCGCGACGCGCCCGCGCATCGTCGTCGCGTCCGCGTGCTTAACACGGTCGTTTGTTCTCCGCGATCGAGTGACAACTATCGTCGCGAGATAAATATCGACCGGCGTTTCTTCTCTCTCGCAATCTGTTTATCTCGGCTTCTTCTCGCTCGTGGATCGCGCGGATCGACATGGATCATCGTCCGTCGGAGCGGCGACACTCGCGCGATTGTTGACACAGTCGGGAGGACTCTCGGGGGGATCGCACGATATATCCTACACACATATCCTTTTGCGTTCGATCGCCTCGCTCGCCCAGTGTGTGCTTCTCCTCCGTAGAATGGACACTCGCCATCGTAACGACGGCGTTGTCAGCGGCGCGGTGCGCGCATCGATCAACTCGTGGTGAGGAGGCAGTAGGCAACAACCCTTCGGCCGCGAAGCGACGGCAGAACGGAGCGAAGATCAGCCGCTCCTGTTTTTTTTCTTCTTTCGTTTCGCGTCGTGTTGTATCTATACACAAATATAATTGAATAAAAAAACGAAAACAAAACATTTGTTATGGATACTCGCTGCCACTCTCGTCCCCGTGCAATGGCAGCGCGGATCGGCCGCTTCGGCGGTCCACGGCGAGCAACGAGCGACGCGGCCGAGGTTAGCGACGAGTCGCGTCAGTGATCCATCCAAACACACGACATATCGATATATATATATCGCGCGCAGCCGGAGTCGGAGTGCGCGTTAATTGCTGTGCGACGAAAACAAAAGGAGAAGAAGGAGGAGGAGGAGGAGGAGGAGGAACAAAACGTCGCGTGTCGGAGAAGGAAGATCGGTGTTAACGAGATCGTCATCGCGACGACGACCCGAGACGATCCCCGACAATGTGCGAGTGCTGATCGACGTCTCCCTCCCCCCCCCGTATGTGTATGTAACCCCCCGATCTTTTTTCTCTTCCTCTCTTTCCCCTCATCCTTTTATCGTCGTGCGTTTCTCGTCTGTGCGTGAACGTCAACGAAGAGGAGCAAACAACAAGGAGCAACGCGGGACAGCCCTCGGATATATTAATGAAGATGTGCCGTGGATTGATTGATCGGTTGCTCCTGTTAGCGGCGTTCGGAATCACCGTCCAAGGTAAATCCCCGTCGCACATACGAGCGATTGTTTCTTCTCTTCTCTCCTGACCCTTTTTCGTTTCTTCCGCGCCCCATGTCGTTCCCTCTGTCCCCCTGTGTTTGTCTCCGAGTCTCCCTTTCCCTCCCCCTTCCGAAGCGCACGCTTCACGCTTTTACGGTCCAGCGTTCCCCGCGTGTGTACCACTGGCGTAAATAATAATACAAAGGGTGTTCCTCGTTGCAAACGCGACGCAAATTCGGCGACGGCTTCAATCGGCGGCGCATCGCCGATTTGAAAAACGGGAGAATCCCGCGCGCTTTTTTCCCACGCGATTCGCTCGCGTTGTACGAAGGTAACGTACCAGATGCCGAGCGCGCGCGATACGGAAAGCGAATCGAACGATTCGATCACAGCCTCGGCTCTTCTCCGCGGCGGCGGTGAATTCTATTCGCATAAATTGATTTACGCACCCCTTTCGTCCTTTCCTCTCGCGTCCGTCCTTTCCTTCTCTCTCTTTCTCTCTATCTCTCTTCTCCATCTCTCTTCTTTTCCCTCCCTTTTCCTCCCTTCCCCGTTGTTTCGTCGATCGCGTTCCGCCGCCGAATCCGCGCAAATCGAGTTCACGTGTAACGAGGACGCACTTTGCGCCGGGGAAATTCCGGTTACAGTCGACGGCCAAATGGACACACGGGATCGCTCTCTATCTCTCTCTCTTTCTCTCGCGCACGTTCTCGTCACGCTGTCAAATCAAGGGATGCAGAAACGAGAGACGCAAATCATAGAGAACATGATCTCCGTGTAATTATTTGTCAAAGAAAAGTGATTCGTCGACGTCTTTTTTATTCGATTTCGGAGCAGTTCACGACGCGACGACTGGATCAATTCTATCCGTCCGTAATATAGTCAAACATTTGCGCTTTAGATAAAACAGAGACGATAAGATTCACGTGACAGTAAGCAGAAAGTACAAATAAGAGAAAAAAACAAAAGTGATTTATGTCTCGCTTCCAACACAATCATTTACATTTTTTTTTTTTTTTTTTTTTTTTTTTTTTTTTTTAAATGTGCTCTCTGTCTCTCTCACGGTTCATTAATAATAAAACAGAAAGAAATCGAGCGAACGAGAATAATCTGCGCGACGATGAATCGAACTCTTTCATCGCAATTTTCGATGACACACCGCGATATTACACAGTCGCGCGATTTGCGTATTTTTTTTTTCCCCTATAAAATGTCACGATGTGTATATACGTGTATATACGTGAGCGTATCAATTGCGAACCGATCGCGACACACACACACACATACACACACGCGCGCGAACGACATTAAATCGTTTAAACGCGGCGAACGATTACACCGTATCAACAAATTGACCGTTTTTGTCGCACTTTTTTAACGAAGAAAGATGGTTTTTGCAGATTTCGATGCGCTGTATCCGAGTGCGATCTCGTAATTTCTCACCTTTACGTTCTCGTTTGAAGATAACGAGACAAGAATCTCGGAAATAACAATTTTGACAATATTGTATTCCTAATCGTTTTCAATTTTGTCCTTTGCTCTTTCAAAAGTCATTTAAAGCGTCGTTCGTCACTATCTCTACGTTAGTCATGCACAATTTTCTTATCTTTGACTCAGAATTCGTAAAAAAAAAAAAAAACTGAAGTTTCTATCTTCTAATTCGAATTTTTTCATTATTCAGTAAGAAAAGAAACTACAATGACAAACGAGAATCGCGACTTGATTGCAAAATTATCGCGATATCGCGTACGGCGCATCTCAGAATTTAAAAATCATCTTTTGTTACTGTGGGGAAAAAAGTGTTGCCATCAAAGTTGTTAAAAAAAAGAATAGAGAAAGTTTTCGAAGAGATGCGTTTTGTTTTGCATCTGCGCTAATATATATACATACGTATATACAGGGTGTCCCAGAATTGCCGTACAATCTCTCGTAGGCAGGTAGAAGGAGTAAAACTGAGTCAAAAAGTCCTGAACCATTTTTTTCTATTATTTATAATAAAGGAGTAATTATTGAGTAAATCAGGCCAATCAGCGCAGATCTTTAGCCAGACGCACGTCAGTGAGCCGCGCGCCTGGTGTGTGTGAGTGCTCACTGACGTGTGCCCGGCTAAAGGTCTGCGCTGATTGGCCTGATTTACTCAATAATTACTCCTTTATTATAAATAATAGAAAAAAATGGTTCAGGACTTTTCGACTCAGTTTTACTCCTTCTACCTGCCTACGAAAGATTGTACGGCAATTCTGGGACACCCTGTATATAAAACGTTGTATGTATGTGCGAACGTACGAGTATCATTCCGGCTAGAATCAATTCTGTTAACCCTCAATTACTTTGATGAAGGCACATTTGACCTCCCCCAATGAGATAGCTCGTGAGATATCACTTTTATCTTGAACTCTGACTCTCGTTACATATGTATATGTATATATATATTGCCTAAATGATTTTCGCTTTTTACCTCCCACCCCTCTCTCTTCTCCCCCTTTCTTTTTTCGTATGCTTAATTAGCGGACGTAGTATTTCCTTTGAAGATGATACGTGCTTAATTTTGACGAGTTTATTAAATTTCACGTCACTCGATTCTCGCAAAAAGCTTTTTTCGTAATCAGCGCAACGTAAAAAACACTTATTTTACAACCATATATATATATATGTATATATGTATACACGTCCGCGTATATACACGCGTTCGTACATCCGTCCGCGTACACTGATTTCGAAAACAAATCTCTCGGGAGAGAGAGTTCCGCGCGTTCCGAACCGTAAACGTTGAAAATTGCAACATTTCAGTTTTTACAGAGCCATTTTGCCGCATTTACGTTAGTTAAAGTCGGTAGCGGCAGATAATTAAGCTTCAAGCGATGCACAAACAGCATTTGTAAACATTTTTAATGCAAGGATAATTTTTAATGCGAGAAAGACGCGCGACACGCGTTTTCCGTCTACGGTTCAAGGATGGAAAAGCGGATGCTTATATCCCCGCTTCCTCCCTCCCTCCTTCCCTCTCTTCTTTCTCTTCTCGTTTAAATAATCGCACGTCAAATATATATATATATATTTGCCTCGATGTTTCGCGCTCTCTCTCTCTCAATATTTTTCTCTCTCTCTCTTTCTCTCTTTCTCGCACGCGCGCGCTCGCGTTACGTTACATTGCATTTTACACATCACGGAGCCAGCCACCGATACCACCACCGTGAAGGAAAACAAGATTCGACGAATATTAAGGGAAAGTTCCGACGGACGGGTTATTTATTTTAGTAGTTCCCGCGCGGCGTCTAAAAATAGACGACGATATTCTGGACACCGCTGACGGTGCGGGACGGGGAAGGTATATACTTTTTCGGTGCTCTATTTTTGTTTGCGAAGCGATGTTTATCGTTATTCAAGCAAAACTCTCCACGTCTCCATTCTTATGCGCGGCAGCGCCGTATGCGCGCCTCTCTCTCTCTCTCTCTCTCTCTCTCTCCTGTATATATGCGTGCGCGACCGTGTATAAGCGAGCATTTGGTTTTCAAAACATTCCGTATCTCCGCGTTTGTTTTTTTCTCGCTCGAACAAATGCAACTTACTTCCAATCGCGAGCGATCCGCAGTTATTAATAAAATCAATGAAATAGAGATATTTTCGAAAGTGTCGAGTTTTGTTTTAATATTGAAAATTCTCGCGCTCCGTATCGTGAGCGTGCAATAATATTTTTTTCTATCTCGGAGAAATCATTCTTTTTCATTCTCAAGGAACAACAGAGATCGGATGGTCTTGATTGCACAGGAGAATTTTAGAGATTAGAGACGAAGTAATAATAATATTCATTGCGTTCGGTCAACTATTTCCATTTCCTCGAGAAGAAGTATGCGCGACTCTCGGTCTGTGAACGTAGACGTTATATTGATTTCCATATAATTAACGCGCGTGTGCTGAAAATATAAGGGTCGCGATCAAGCGGCACGCGACGATTATGCTGAGGCACGTTAGACAATGTGTAAATGATAAATTAAACTGAGTTTAATCGGTTCTATAATTTCTTTCGTAATTTTGCAATTGTCTCTCTCTCTCTCTCTCTTTCTCTCTTTCTCCCTTCTCGTTCTTCGATCATGCTTTCAGTCCGCTTGCTTCCGCGTTTGGTTTTTTCTTTTATTTTGTCTTTTATTCGCACACGCTTGAAGTGTCGCTCACCTTCGCCTTTTTACTACAAATATTCCGCGGTATAATTGTAGTGTGTGTCGTGTGTTATTAGTTACATTACGTGGCGCCGAGGCGATCGTCGTACTGTTCGGGTTGAAAACGCGTTTTAAATTGCCATTACGGGGACACGGAGGGATTGATCCTTCGCGCTCGCTCGCGCGCGGCGCGATTAATCTCCTTCAATCGCCGTCTCGTCGCGCGTTGGCACAATGCGTGCTGAAGAGAAGAAGAAGAAAAAAAAAAAACCTCGCAGCTTACAACACCAAGAAAAGCCCGTCTCTTGCTTTCGCAGGTGTCACGCTGACGACGCGCGTAAGAAGCTATCCGGGTTCCGCCGACTATTCACGCTCCTTTGCGGATCCTATTCACACACACACACACACGTGTGGTTTTCTCTTCCATAACCTCGCGCGCCATATTTACCGGCTTCCCAAATGGAGAACTCATATAAGCGAGAATGTACAAGTGACAGTTCGGTTAGAACGCGAGTTAAATGCGCAGCTTGTGTAGCTGAGAGACTCACTTTTACGCGCGGGTGAAATTTTCTAACGGTAATTAGACACATATACATATAGCTTGCATCGCGATCGTCGTGAGAGATTATCGACGTTCGCGAGTGTATCTAAAAAAAAAAAAAAATTTCAAGCGTGATACACACGCATTCCTCAAATTGATGCGAATGCGATTGAGCTTGTGGGAACTTATTAAAGTGTCGGAATAACTGACATAAAATGTACGTTTAAATATGATCGAGTGTGATTCAGTTGAATTGCTTGAGCGAAAGAGCAAGAGAAATTTTCCCGGACGCGAATATG